TAATTTAAAATCACACAGTATCAGTTTAACATGAACATAAATATTACATGAAATAAAGAAACTAATTAATACATGTTGATAAAATATAAAGCAAGTCATTATATGAGTAATTAAAAAAAAAAAAATTTGACATAAAAGACTTAAAAAGCCTCTTAGATCAAAGCATGATTGATAATTAATAAAAAAATAACAACCCGACATTCACATGTAGGTACTTAAATATGATGTGGCAATGAATGCAAATAGGGAAAAAAGAGAGAAAAAGTTGAATGAGAAATTAAAATAAAATAAAACCTTTTTGGAGATTGTATTAAAACACTATTTGGCTGAGGACTTTTGTTTTATATCACTGATTAAGCGGAACTTGAGGTTTTTAATCATCTTGTAACTGTTCGCTCTGCACTACAATGGTGGTAGAGATGTATTTGTGCTTGTCTTCCATCCTTTATGTTAACCGGCAGGCACTTGTTAATGGCCACTTCTCTCAATACAGAGAAGACGATATTGATTATTGGAGCAGTTGTGACTGTGGTTGCTGTCTTACTTGGATTGGCACTTCTCTTTATTCGAAGCAGGACTGGTAAGAATTAAAACCTCACCAAAGTTTATTTATTTAAAGTAGCTTAACTTTTTTAGACAGTTGACATTAGTTCAGTCAGACAACTCACATTTGAAATGTTTATTACAGCAGTATAGCATATTTAGATTTTGGCGTCTAGGCCACAACCTCATCATTCTCCGCTGATATGTTTACATGGAGATAGAGATGTTTTATTATGGATATCTATGTCAATAATCATTGGTTGATGTTAATGTTAATAATGTTTGTGTGTGTGTGTGTTTTAGAAAGGTGTGTTCCCAAGAGGTAAGAAATCTTATTTCTCAAATATTATATAAATTTGAGTGAGTATCAGTTATGTGTCTTCTTTTCCATCATTTTGTGGTTTACATTCAGAGTTTCACACGTTCACTCTGGCAGCTGCTGAGCTGCTCAACAGTCACAGATTAAGTGCTTTGATCAACGGCACGTGGACACTTGGCAGAATTTAGACATATTGCTGTAAACATTCATCACAGTAGATTCTTGTAAAGTCAACTGACACATATATTAAATTAAAAGCATAGTAGATATAGTAGACATAAATCAGCAGAGTAACAGTCTGACAACTGTCAGGTCAGAAAGATCCAGGTTCCATATAACAGAAACACTTTTCAGTCACATCATTTAAAAATGTTTAGGGAGAATAATTCAGTATATTTATTTGTAAATGTGTACAGTGCTTTTACTTTCCTCTCTAATGACACACTGTTTATAAAACCTGTTTTTCTATTTTTTCCATTTAGACCAAAAGCAAACTTCACTGGTAAATCAAACAGTATTTTTCTCATTTACATAAACTATATTGATCAAGCCAATGCATTATGACTGTTATTTATAGATTAATGTTTCTTTTACAGTTTTTGTTACAATGTATTAAGTTTTCCTTTGGTTTCTGTTTTAGATGACAGGGAATATATGGTAAGTGTCAGCAGAGAAAGAAAATTTCCTTCATTTAGTGATGATTCTGTCTTATATAATACTGTTCTCACTCTCTCTTCCATTAATTATTTTATGAAATCATTTAAAGGGTGGTTATGATGAAACATACAGTATCGTCATCTATGAATGCAACACTGGTGAGCTGCTCTTTTCTTCCTGATTAAAGTATCAGGTTCTCAGTTGATTGGTAGTGCAGGTTCTGCTAAAATGTTTAAAAATAAAAAGAATTTGAACAGGCAAAATAAAAACGTTTCTATTGTTAGGACAGAAACATGTGCAACTTTAATATCTTGACGAATGCAAAATGATGGCAATCATTTACTCTTCACAGAGGGAAGTTAAGTTGTGTGTGTGTTTCTTTCTTTTCACAGAGTGACAACAGCAGCAGCTCAGAGAGATACAGTGTACAGCAAACCAAAGTCACTTTGGAATACAAACGTTTTACTTGCATCTGCTTCACTTTGCTTTCTTATGTACAGTTAATTGATGTAAACATGATATACATCATTATCTGCCAGAGCAGATATTAGAATGGTGTAAATGTTTAATTGAACTTTATTGAATTGATGGAAACTGAAGTTTGGTCAGAAGATATCATGTGTTGCAATGCTTCAAATAATAAAAACATTATACACAATTCAGGTTCATGTTTATATGGTGATATAATGTTACATATTTACTTTAAGTAACCATAAACACAAATTTAAGCAATTATTAGAGTCTGTTAATAGTTATTAATTTGAGGTTTAATCATGGTTGTACAGTATATTTTTCATTAGGAATATTATCATACTAATACAGCTAGCAAGTATTTGATATAATATATGTTTGCCTCAATGTCTACTTACATTTTTAGCTCGTCTTCCACCTAAACTGGCTGACATGTTTTGTCAGTGTAATTTCTACACTGTAAGTGGAGGAAATGTCAGAGGCTTCTCTTGTATGAGGACAATGACAGGAATTAAGCTCAAGTTCACCCGCCACATGCAATATGTAATTTGATTACATGTAATATGAAAAGTTTAAATGTGACATCATCAAAATTGTACATACTCACTGTATATTGTTATTATGGACCCAGGGACCGCATTAAAATATATAAAAAATACAAATACACAAATAATAAGACTGTTCCTTACCGTTGTTTACATTAGTATTCATTTGTACACACAGGAAATATCAACACAAATCCATCTTCTAATACTGTAGATATTGTGAAACGAGAGTCAAGACAATGCCAACATTTACTGTGATCACAGTTACGACGTGTTACACATCTAAATATCATTTGAAAAAAACCCACCACATATCAGTGATATATTTCTTATAAATGTAATATCTTTTTACTTTCTGCTTCCACTCAGCGTGTAGGATTTTGTGGTATCTGGCTGTGTAGGTGCAGATTGCTATTAACTGAACACCTTGTCATTATTAAATAACCTGGGAATGAGAACGGGCTGTGAACCTGCAACAAACACGAAACTTTTGTTGGTCCATTCTGGGCTACTGTAGAAACATGGCGTTTCAATATGGTGGCCTCCATGGACGGTGAATCAAGTCTGTAGATAAAAATGACTCATTCTAAGGTAAATTAATAATGATAATTAATTAATAATAATAAGCTAAATTCTTATATTCAGGTGATCAACACTAATAAAAAAAATACCTGTGAATATTATACTCCATTTCTGCTAACAGATCCTCCTAAATGATACACACTACTGGACCTTTAAGGGCTTAACTCTTCGTTACTACTCTTTGCACATTGGTAAAAACATGATTTTTATTTTATTTATAAAGAGTTTAAAAATAAATATGATCTCAAAACTCCCTTCTCCATTTTGTGTGCACTTTTGCGACGGTCACTAACTTCAGCTAATTTTACCATCTTATGTCAAGCAAAGGATTTCCAATATTACTGGAATAATGTAGATGCAGATGTTTTTTGTATTTCTTAAGAATATGTTGTCTGTGCATGTACTCATATTTGTTTACACCTCTAGTATGTGCAGGTGTGAGCTGTTCAAAAATAGCTCTTTTAGTAAAGCTGCACTAAATACTTGCTGTATTTAATTTATCTTAAGTGCCATTTTCTACTTGTCCACCAGATGCCCCCAGACTCTCCCCCATCCAGTCACTCCCTCCTGCCCTGCAGTTAGCTGACCTTCTCACTCTATCACCCGTTTCCACTTTGCCTCATCAGCCCTGCAGTGTTACAGTGTGGCCTATTTCTTCTTGTTCCCTGTCAGAGCATCAAAGGGGTGGTGTGTCTCATGCCGTTGCTTTGCAGCCATCTGAACCTATTCCCTGTGCTCTGTAGATGAACCTGTATACCCAAACCCGTTACCCTAATGCCTGTGTCTGCTCATTTGATCTTCAACCTGATTGTTTGGACTTTTGTCTCCTGCCTCCATTTTGAAGTTTTTTGTCTGTTTTGCATTGCCTCTCTGGTTTTGACCCTTGCCTCCTTCATGGTCCTGTAAGCCTGGAACCTTATTTTTGTAAAGACGTCATTGAACTGTTCTCTCTTTATTCCAGTCCCTGTTGCCCCACTCGGACCAGCAGTGATAACTAGTTCTGACATTTTAGAAAAAGAAACAACAAAAACAAACAATAAGAAAGATTATATGAAAGCAAAGGAAATTATCAAAAACCATTATTTTTCTGAAACAGTTTGTCAGCATTGTGGTAGATTTGATATAAACATACTGTTACCTCTGTAGCCTGTCAGTGTGGTTTTCCTGAGAACAACCTCTGCAAAATGACATCAGCATGTAAAAGTTGTCACGTAGTCAAACACAAGTGTCGTCCTTAAAGGACTGTGGGACATTCACATTATTCTGCTTCATCATGGCTGGACACCTGCTGTTAGTCGTCCTCATGTGTAAGTTAAACCTCTTGTCTGTTTCTTTCATTATACCGTAGGTACTTAAACACCAATACAGGGACATTTTATTAGCAAGTACCAGATTAATATTTAATGTTAGTCCATTATGTATTGCTGTGAGTATGTTTAATTACACTTTTATACCAGGTTAAGAAAACAGAGAATTTACTATTTAATATTTCATCTGTTTCCCTTGTTAACACAATTTTTCCTCAACAGATTATTTTTCTGAGATGAAAGCACAAGGTCAGTCCTTGAACTGTTCACAGTATGGACAGTTTAATAGTCTGTAATTAATTTGACATTTCTTTCTCATAATTTGGCTTTACTGTAATTTATTGTAGTGTACATGAAATGAAAATTTCTTTTCAGAATTGTAATTTTTTTTACTGTCTATATTAAATACATGATATAACATGTGTACCTCTACACTTTCAGTTCTTCTTCCACCTAAACTGACAGTGAATCCATCGGTGATCACAGACACAGACTCAGTCACATTGGACTGTCAGCCTCCACCATCTGTTTCTGTGTCTCAGTGTTATTTCAGCACTGTAAGAGGAAGACCGGCCAAAAGCTTCTCTTGTCTGCAGACACTGACAGGAACTGAACTGCTCAAGATGTCATATCAAAGTTCACCTGCTGAAGTTGAAGTGAAATGCTCTTACGTTAAGGTGTTTCAATCTCCTGAGAGTGAAACAACCTCCATCACCATCCGAAGTGAGTGAACACTCCTGCTATGGACCAATATTACAATCATTTTGTTTATTATAACATTTGATATGTGATGATTAAGTCTTTGGCACTTAGACTCTACAGGAAGATTTTTGTGATACAGGATTGTTTAACCCGAGCAAAGAGTAAAGATGTCGTTGAACTGTTCTCTCTTTATTCCAGTCCCTGTTGCCCCACTCGGACCAGCAGTGACAACTAGTCCTGCCATTTCAGAAAAAGTAACAACTACAACAAACAAGAAAGACTATATGAGAGCAAAGGATATTATTAGGGACATTTAATTTGTCTGAACCAGTTTCTCAGCATTGTGGTAGGGTTGATCTAAACATACTTTACCACACATGGTTACCTCTGTAGCCTGTCAGTGTGGTTTTCCTGAGAACAAGTTCGGCAAAAAGACATCAGCATGTAAAAGTTGTCACGTAGTCAAACACAAGTGTCGTCCTTAAAGGACTGTGGGACATTCACATTATTCTGCTTCATCATGGCTGGACACCTGCTGTTAGTCGTCCTCATGTGTAAGTTAAACCTCTTGTCTGTTTCTTTCATTATACCGTAGGTACTTAAACACCAATACAGGGACATTTTATTAGCAAGTACCAGATTAATATTTAATGTTAGTCCATTATGTATTGCTGTGAGTATGTTTAATTACACTTTTATACCAGGTTAAGAAAACAGAGAATTTACTATTTAATATTTCATCTGTTTCCCTTGTTAACACAATTTTTCCTCACAGATTCTTGTTCTGAGATGAAAGCACAAGGTCAGTCCTTGAACTGTTCACAGTATGGACAGTTTGATAGTCTGTAATTAATTTGACATTTCTTTCTCATAATTTGGCTTTACTGTAATTTATTCTATTTTCTGTAGTCTACATGAAATGAAAATGAAAATTTATTTTCAGAATTGTAATTTTTTTTCTGTTTATATTAAATACATGATATAACATGTGTACCTCTACACTTTCAGTTCTTCTTCCACCTAAACTGACGGTGAATCCATCGGTGATCACAGACACAGACTCAGTCACATTGGACTGTCAGCCTCCACCATCTGTTTCTGTGTCTCAGTGTTATTTCAGCACTGTAAGAGTAAGACCGGCCATAAGCTTCTCTTGTCTGCAGACACTGACAGGAACTGAACTGCTCAAGATGTCAAATCAAAGTTCACCTGCTGAGGTTGAAGTGAAATGCTCTTACCTTAAGGTGTCTCAATCTCCTGAGAGTGAAACAACGTCCATCACCATCCGAAGTGAGTGAACACTCCTGCTATGGACCAATATTACAATCATTTTGTTTATTATAACATTTGATATGTGATGATTAAGTCTTTGGCAATTAAACTCTACAGGAAGATTTTTGTAATAGAGGATTGTTTACCCCGAGTAGGAGAAAGATAAATCCTCCAATGGAGAATGACTGTGCTGAAGAGTGATGAAAAAATGAAGCTGATGTATCTGTATAGACTGGATGAGGATGAGTTGAAGGGGTGCACATAAACACTGAAGGCTGAGAAAGAATTGTACAGGAAAAGACTGCAGTTGCTGTATTATTGGATAGATGAGACCAGCTGATGGAAACTGCTGATATCACAATTTACAGCCCCAGATAATGACTGCAAGGAAATAGACATGAGCATGTGTATACTTGACTGAACTTTTGCAAGAGCTTCATTAAGATATCTTTTTACATTATCAACACAAACAAAGTGACTCAAAATAGGAAACGCATTGATGATTTAAAATGGGTATCAAGAATTACACTATCTAATACATACAGCCTCGGGGCATCCTCTACCATTTTAAATATATCATCAGAATGTTTTAAATAAATTGAATTTTCAATTATTTAACCCAACATATACTTACATTTTCAGCATCTCTTCCACCTAAACTGACAGTGAATCCACCAGTGATCAACGAGAGAGACTCAGTCACATTGAACTGTCAGACTCCACCATCCTTTTCTGTGACTCAGTGTCATTTCTACATTTCAAGTGGAGGAACTGTCAGAGACTCCTCTTGTCTGCAGACACTGACAGGAACTGAACTGCTGAAGACGTCACCTCAGAGTTCACCTTCTGAGGTTGAAGTGATGTGTTTTTATACGGTAAAGCTTGGAGAAAAAGATTCTCCATCTCCATACAGTGGCACTTCCCGCATTACCATACACGGTGAGTGAATGCTTTTTTGATTTGGTATCATAACAAGAAAAGGGGAGAAGTGAATTTGTCTTTAGGGCTTATAAACCAAAACAAGGAGAGAAAGACTAATTTAAGAACTTCTGTTCTCATAAAATGCCGCCTGCTTTTTTAATGTTAATTGTATTTTGAGCAACGATAGATTTAATGACACATTATTACATTATTGTATAATATATTGGAAATTCAAATTAGATGACAATTATTCATTTGGTTTTAGTCACATGATGTGTGTGGTATCAGTACGACTGAAATGTTAGCTCCGCTAGCTCTGATAGCATTATTTTAATGACTTTTCTTTTGTTTGTAGGTCAAACACCACAGATGACTCTTCAGCATTTTCATGGTGAACACGTTCTCTTTACTTGCTCTCTGCCTGGATCTGCTAATCATGATACGAAATGTAACCTGTACTTTGGAGAAGAAAGTGATCCAGTTAAAACATCAACCATCTGGAAGAAAAGAAGCTCAACCAATCAGTGGTTCTGCCAGTTTATTGTCACAATTGATGATTTGTTGAAACGTCTACGTTTAGTTAAACAAAGTGATGCCAGCTGTGATTACAGTTTGGGACGTGAACCCAACTCTTTGTCTCCTCGTAGTGATCGATACAACTTGACTGGTAAGTCACAAAAGACATGAACACACATGCCACACTGCTACAACACATCCATTGAAATAGATTTTAATAAAGTGAATTCTGGGTAAAATTAGATGGACACCATACAGTAACTTTATATTTATGTCTGTTTTTAAATGAATACTGTATTTAGATTCACATAATACAGCCTCTATGTTTGACTGTAACTGCTAAGTCATAGTCTTTTAGGATTAATGTTTCCCTTTACACAACAACAACATAAACAGTGAATTCAGTGCCACACTATTTTCCAAACTACTGTAGGTGTCACATGCAGTCGAGGCTTTCATCATGCAGAAGTGGGCATGGTTTAATCTAAACCAGAAAACCAATAGACACCAATTAGCCATATAAGGGACTTCAATGTAGCATCATCATCATCAGTTGCCCGACTATCATTGTCCTGAAATCAGTTTTTTTCATGAAATGTTCTCTGGTTTATAGTCCCACATGGTTGTCTGCACAAGAAATTAACAGGTTCAAATCTATTTTTTTTTTTATTGTAGATATTGTGGAAAAAGAGTCACCATTGACGCAGACTGTGCCGACATTTACTATGACCACAGGTAGAAACTTAAACATTTAAATCCAGAACATTATCACAAATCACTTATTATATTCATTATTTTGAAGATTTCAAAAGATTTTCAATCATCAGGTACCAGGTCTCATGCTTCAACTCCTGTAACTTCTAAAAAAGAAACATCAGGTACAGAATTACAGATGGAAATATGGTATCTGTATCATATGGTATGTGCTTCTGAGTATTATATTTTGAAATGTATTTTCCTTCTTTCACCAGGTTGGCCTGTTGGTACACCAAGTATCACTGATAGTTTGATCTCTACTTTCCCAACATCAGTGAAACCAGCATCAGGTTAAGTATTTATTTACATTTTCAACATTTCACATTTACTCTTATATGTCTCTATCTGTATCTGCATGTGCTTATGCTTATGTGAAGTTGGACTGTACAGATGTTTGTTGACATTGTTCAAGAACAATAAAGTTGTTATTAGTGCTGTCAGTTTAACGCGTTATTAAAGGCGTTAACGCAAACCCATTTTGTAGTTTTTTTCACATGCTGTTGCAACAACTAGTAAAGTTAGAAAAACTACAACACCACACCGGATCTAGCTAGACCGGAAACAAAACAACAGGCAGGCCGCACACACTTGTTTAAGAGTAGTGGACGTTACGTTTTGGGTGGATGGCGAGTGCGAGACGCTGAGGTCCGTGTATGGTCCGTGTATGTTTTGGTCATTGGATTATGGAATCTGGAAGTATAAATATGGGACTTTTATTCTTCAATTTCTCCACATTGGTACAGTAAAAATGCTTGATATTAAGTATACTTGTAGTCTTAGATGTGTAGAAGTCAAATATATCATCCATAGCCAGGAATTATTGAGCAAAGTGTTTTTACATTAGCTCAAATATATGAAAATACCACTTGGAGGTACAAATATGGACTTTTATTGTTGAATTTCTCCAAATTGGTACAGTAAAAATGCTTGATATTAAGTATGTTTGTAGTCTCATATGTGTAAAAGTCAAATATACCATCAGTAGCCAGGAAACACTGAGCAATATGTTTTTACAGTACCTCAAATATGGTCAAATATGCAATCTCTGGAGGCATAAATATGAGACTTTTATTTTGGCATTTCTCCACACTGGTGCAGTAAAGATACTTGATATAAAGTGTTTTTTTATTCATCAGGGGGCATGAGACACTTTAATGTAACATATTTTAATTATAGCTTACGGCTCTAAATACCTTTATTTTGAAAACCGGCAGTAACTACGCTGTTTCTCCGCATTTACCATAATGCTGAGAATACTTGTACACTCGAAATTTAAGTGCGGCTGATTTGACCACGGAGATCGGACTTTTTTCACCCTTTTATTGATGGACAGTGTTACATTGTGAGAGATTATTTGCTCCAAGTGAGAATGTTAGTGTGAAATTGAACACTACAGTATATGCCAGTGTTGTTTTCAATAAAAACAACATTTGCACAAAGCAAGCCGATCCACTTTCCCATGTTGATGAGAGCATTAAAATGAGAAAAAATAATGGGACAAAAAGAAATCAAGGGACATTTAGAATAGATAAAAATGTGCGATTAATTGCGAGTTAACTATGACATTAATGCAATTAATTGCGATAAAATATTTTACTCGTTTGACAGCACTAGTTGTTTTTAACCAGAACATGACAACACTGCTTACGATTTATACTCTTCGTACAAAGAGGGCAATATTAATGATTATATCTTTTATGCCTTCAAGGAACAGATAGCAGTATGACCCCTATGAATCCAGAAACTGAAATAACAGGTAGACTAAAGATTTTTATCATTATCTTATTATTCTTATTCTTACTGCAACAAAATGCTAACTTGCACTGCTGTGAATGTTTAAAAACTTTTGTGGCTATGCACTTACTAGGTTTGAGTGTTAGTACGTCTTACACTATAGATTCCTCTTTCTCTGCAGTCCCTCTGAAAACAGCCACAGGTGAGTACAGTATGTGTGAATAAATAATGTTTACAACCTCATTTACACAGTTATATCAGTTACAAAGCAAAAGTGCTTATTGGTGGTTGAATATTGTAGTCATCTCTTGCTTTTCTGTCAATGTGAGAAGTAAAAATGACACTTGTTTATAACTTCTGTTCACAGATGAAAAGTGGATGTTGAAGTTTGTAGTATTTGTATCTGGTTTTGGAGTAACTGTGGGCCTCATCGTACTGGGATTGGCACTTCTTTGTACTAAAAGAACTGGTGAGAACTATGTCAATTAATGTGTCCACTGAAGATTGAATGTAAATATATATATGTGTATACACTACTGAAATTTTGAATTTTATGACACAAATCTATAATAATTATTTTCATAGTCTGTCTCTAATGATTAAATATATGTGAGCTCTAGAAGTTGTACTTTCACAATCATTGCATAACTAACCAAAAGATATGAGCACCAAAGAAAGCTACTACTTCAGTCAGAGAGACTAGTCAAGGAATTGGCTATTTATAGCAAATGTTTATTAGTTAAATTTAGTAAAAAGGTCGTGCTCTGGAAGAAACAATATTCATTTTGAGGTAAATTAAAAATATAGCAGGTTGGTGAAAGGAACCACAGCAGCAAACATCATGGGCATGAAAGTATCAACAGAGTATCAGTATGAAGTGGCAGTTTATAATGGCTGCGCTGAAAGCCACACAGCTGGTGAAAGAGCTGCTGATGGTTAAGAATGAAGGCAACAGATGATGGCAGTCAGCTTCAGCACTTCGCCTGAACTAACACTATTTAGGTAAAGATAGGCCACACAGCTGTCCTATACACTCATACTGGCTTGAATCTTAAAAGTAATTGACGCAGCCTCACACTTCCAGTTCACATAGCTCACAGCTACCAAAATAACCATTGTGGAAACCAAAAGTTTGCAAAGAGTAAACATGCAAGACCTGCATCTCAAACTAAAGTAAACCTTGTGTGTGGGCAGACCACCACTGCACAGAGACCAAAATAACCTCTTTTGGTTGTGTCGAACTGTTTTTTTCTCATGTGAACAAAAGAGATGGTATAGAATTATTCTCTGAACAGCAGGTTTATTTTGTTTTGGCTAAAAGATGAGCTTGACATTGTGAGCATCAAATGCTCTTGAATCCAATCAAATAGACTGAAGACTTTTCATTAAAAAAAATCATTATTTCATATACAGACTATGCAATAAAACACCAAACTTAATTGTAGTCTATCATCTTACTGTGTGTGTCTTCTCACTAGCAGGTTCTAAGGAAGTGAAAAGTCAGGAGCCTCAATATGATAATGTGAGTCTGACATGAGAAACAATGTTAAATATACTGTCATATATATTAACAGATCCTACAGTTAGTTTCCTTCTTTCCCCAGAATGACCCATACCATTTGTACAACATCATCTCTGAGGAGCCAGCTGAATCTGCCCCGAAGGTCATGATGTATAGCACCGTGCAAAAACACTGAAACACAAACGGTTTTATAAAGCAGACTAAAGAACTTGAAATGCGTTGTAATAACATTTTAAAATTTGACTTTTATAATTATCATCATCAGGATTAATGTCACACTATTGCAATGTTTTTTCTTAGTTCAAACAAATAAACCACGAGTACATGGTTATGGTACGAGTTATGGTTTATGACATACAAAGCACAGCATGGGTTCCAAACTGCATTTAAATTCAGATTTCTTTGTTTTGTGAAAATGTATTTAGTGTTTCTCATATATAATATAGCAAAGCAAAGTTAACTTTCTGTTTGTAATTTATGTTTTGTATTCAAATGTGTTTGTTTAATGTTATATTATGTTTGTATGTCATATTTTTTGTGACTGGATGTAATTTGTCGCATTTACAACTTACTGCTACTGCACACAAACACACACACCTACACACACACACACACACACACACACACACACACACACACACACACACACACACACACATTAACTTGAGCACACTTAATAAAATAACACAAGGGGTAAATGAAGGAAGGAAAATATTTCTTTGTATTTATTCACCAACTTTCTCAATCATATGGTTAAGAGTGTGACAGTTGACAAAATATGACTGTATATAATGAATCATCCTGTGATCCTCTTCTTCATGCATCTTTAGCTTGTCTGAAATGTCTTCTGCTTTAAAACAAAGACGTTCAAATGTTCTGGTGTCTCTCAGGTATTTTACATGATCCATATTATCAATGACATCCAAAATGATTTAGTTACAAAATAAACTATTTGAAGAAATTAAACTATGACATTGCTGTCAGTTGTTCTTTAGCAATTTACTGCCCAAAATACAGACCACTCTGCATTCTTTTCAAATATGACAAAAGTGCATTTTACATTCTGCAGACTTTTACATCAGCCTTCCTTTTTTTTTCTAACAACAAATAAACATGTTTGATGTCTTACTATCATCCTTTGAGGACCTGTTTTATACTTTGACAAGAAATACCTGTACTCCTACTGCAGGCATTTGTTTTTACTGTATTTCTTTGTCATTTAATTTCTGCACACATTCAGAACAATATGGCAAACTGTCAGTGCCGTGATCTGCAGTGCTCTAAGCAAAATCACCCAGCACTCCCATTTTTTCTCATTTTATTTTGCTGCACCACATCGTGTATGTTTTCTGCATTAATGAATGTGAGTCTGTGCTACAGATAAAGATTTGTTTCTTAGTAGAGCGTTGCCTGTCGCAGAGGTATGAGCAATTTCATTTCTGGTTGGCCATGTTCTCTATGTGTTTATAAGCATCTTCTTGTTGATTAAGTCCTTACTGATGTCCACCTATGCTGCTGGTCACCTGCTGATGGTCGCTGCTATCAGAGGGAGCAGTGCTGCTGTCAGAGCACTGGAGAGGCGTGTTGCTGAACCACACTCCATGGCATTTTCCTGCAGAAAACAGTCATATGTGATACATATGGAGCTGTACAACAGTATTTATAGAATAGTATAAGAGTAAGAATAGACTCCTCTGTGTTTAACTTATCCTAAGTACTAAGAGCAGTGGGCTGCCACTGTACAGTGCCCGGGGACTAACTCCAGATCTAAACCAGTACCTTGGTCAAGGGCTCTGAGTGACCCTAACCTGGAGGAAACCCATGCAGACACAGGGAGAACATGCAAACTCCACAAAGAAAGGCCCTGCCCCAGTCGAACCCAGGACCTTTTGCTGTGAGGCCACAGTGCTAACCACTGAGCCCATTGAGTGTGACATTACATCATTCAAGTAGCCATTGTTTGTTGATTATTGTTTCATTACATTTGAATAAGATGAGCCTGACATTAACCAAAATAGACAGCTGGCTAGCATAATGTACAAGTAACACAATCTGTCTTTGACATAAATGTAGTTCTCTTTCATAACATTCGTTTTGTGTCTCACTATGGGAAAACCTCCTTTATGACCTCGTCAGAAGCTCAAATAACCTTACGCCAGCTCTAACTGGCTGGCAATGATGACGTCTATATCAGGAGGGGATGGGACCCTCCTCCTATATAATAGGCTGACGTGTCATTTGTCATTCAAAAACCTCTTCTGACTTCTCACAGAAGCCTGTCGACAACTGTGCTAAAGGGTGCTAAGCTAAACTGTCCACAGACACGGGGGCACAACTCGGTCACCGGGCACTTAATTCCCAGATGTACAGTTGTTTGCTGGTTCACTAACAGTAGCAATACTCTTTGCAGCATGGCTTGGGTTTAAATTAGCAATACTTTTGCTAATAAGGGTAATACTAGCAATACCGGCAGGTAGCAATACCTTGTAACAGGTAGCATCAGCAGAAGCTACTCGGAGATAGCGGTGACGTGGAAAGATAAGCCCTACAGTGAAAAACACCCCATCATGGGAGCCTCCTTGTTGGATTGTGAGGGGATATAGTCTCACAGCGTCTGCCAAATGCCGCCGATAGAGCCGCTGGTAGTGACCCACCTTCACCAAAAGGCCCTCTCTTCCTCAGCTCCGTCTCTCCCCTCAAAAACAGACCGCTTCCAGTCAAGCCTGTCAAACTGATAAGTGCTACAAGGCAGCGGCTCTAAGAGCCCTCAACGCCTCTGATGGCTTACCAAGCTCAACTAGAAGAGGACATGTCTGGTCAACCAGATACCTCCCTGTGTGATGAAATCTGCTGTATAACCGACCACGTTTTTCGTCTCCAGAAAGTGGCCATACAAGCTACAGGCAGAGCCATGGGCCTGATGGTTCTTCAGGAGAGAGCGCGCTGGCTTGCGCTTACCAACCTGACAACAAACTACTCCTATCGTCCCTCAGGGTCTCGGCTGTAATTTCCATGCATAAGAGGAGTGCATGTGAGGAGAAAAAGAGGGATGGTGAGGCGCTGAAAATTTGCCTGCAGAGGTCTGTCTGCCACCCTCACAGGCTACTTAGTCCCTCAGCTCTGTTCCAAAAGTAGAAAAAAAGTAAAGTCAGATAAATGTGAAAAAGAGCATGTTGACGCTTGTCCAGCCCATAACTTTCATTGGGCTCACTCTGGACTCTCTCCATGCCAAGAGAGAGTGGGTACTGTGCTGAAAAGCCTAGCACTGTTCCACAGGGGCAACATGGTTATCCTCAAACAATGCCAGAGGCAGTTCCACTGGGACGCCTGTATATGAGAGCCGTCCTGCACTGGGTAGCCTCTCTGGGCCTGAATCCTCAATGCAATGGCCACTGCAACTGCTGGCTTTTCATTTGGCCCTGAAACACTTCCTCCCTTGGCTGAGGGGTCATCTTATTTTGGTGAGGACGGACAATTCCACTGTAGTGGCTTACATCAACAGGCAGGGGGGGCTGAGGTCCCCCAAGTTACACACACTGGCATACAGACTAATAGTAGTGTACACCTGGCCTGCAGTCTCCGAGGGTGACTCATGCACCAGGCATTCTGAATTACCGGGCAAATCTGTTATCCAGAGAAAACCCAGTGTATGCAGACTGGAAGTTTCACCCCCAGGTGGTGACACAGCTTTGGTTGTGGTTTGGTCAGGCAACCATGGACAATGGAGATCGTCAATGCCCCCTGTTCTTTTCTCTACATGATCAGAGGGCTCTGCTGGGGGTGGATGTGCTTGCAACCAAGTGGCCGAAGACTCTCCTGTATGCTTTTTCCCCAATAGCCCTCATTCCGCCAACTCTGGCCAGAGTGACTGAAGGAAGTCTGTCCATGATCCTGATAGCTCCATGTTGGCCAGGGAAGCACTGGCTAGCGGCCATGGCTGTTACCACTTGGCGTGTGTTTGAGTGCTGGTGCTCAGAGTCACAAACTGTTCCTTTTCATTGTTCTGTAGCAGTGATTCTGTCATTTTTACAGGAACTTATTGAGAAATGTAAAGCCCTCTCAACCATCAAGGTGTAGTTGGCAGCAATCTCTGTCTGCCATTTTGGCTTTGATGAGAAGTCAGTGGGTCAACACCCTTTAGTGTGTCGATTCATGAAGGGTGCATGGTGTAAATTGCCTACATCTAGACCAATTGCCCTGTCATGGGATCTTCCCACTGTACTGTAACAGGTAGAGCTGAACATTTTGTCCCTGAAGACCACTTTATTGCCAGCTTTAGCCTCGGCTAAGCATAAACCGGCCTTTATTGCGAAGGTTATGGGCTTGTACTCCCCTATAGAAAAGGTTGCATTTTATCCCCCGCCTTTCTCTTCTGAGGAGCACCAGCATTTGCATACTCTGTTTCTAGTTTGTGCACTACCAATTTATTTGGACCGGACCTAGGATTTCCGACAGGGTAACCAGTTATTTGTGTCTTGGGCAAAACCTCATCAAACAGCGTCTTTCCCACTGGATAGTAGGGGCTATTGCTCTGGCTAATGCCAGCAAGGATCTACAGCCTTCCGCTGGTCTCTGTGCACATTGCACCAGGGGTCTAGCAACCTTGTGGGCTCTGTTTTAAGGGGTTTACATTGGAGAGGTGTGTGCAGCTCCATGCTGGGTCTCACCCCACACATTTGCTAGATTTTATGGGTTGGATATAATGGTTCCAACTCTGCACCACGTACAATCAGTATTCTTTTCCCCATAGTGAGCCACAAAACGAATACTATGAAAGAAAACATAAGGTTATGAATATAACCCCCGGTTCTCTGATTAGCATGAGCATCTCACCATACCACCCTCCTTGCTATAAATGCGAGGAAGAGGTGAGCTTTTTTCCAATGACAAATAACACTATGTCAGTCTATTATATAGGAGGAGAGTCCCATCCCCTCCCAACATAGACATCATAAGTGCCAGCCAGTTAAGCTGGCGTAATGTTATTTGAGTTTCTGACGAGGTCACGCAGGAGGGGTTCCCCATAGTGAGACACTCACTCATGCTAATCAGAGAACCAGGGTTATATTCATAACCTTAGGTTACACACGTTACCAGTCTAACTGACTTCACTGATTTGCTTCATGCTCTTAATCTCCAGACATGATATCATAAAAGAAATTATTTTGGGATATATGCTTACTCACTTTCTTACAAAGAGTTAGATGAGAAGATTGCTACCACTTTCACATCTGTACTGTATGAAGCTACAGCAGCTCAGTTAGCTTAGCTAAGGATAAAGACTTGTGCTCCACCAGCAACTTCACAGTTTAACTGTAGACATGTAGAGTCTCATACCTCAGGGTGGAAAGGATGACACGATTCAGGCTTCTTTCTGTCCTTCTGAAACTTCAGTCTGTCACATTTTAGTGACTCGTTGTGTTCAGAGGCGTCAAGGGTGTAAACAAAATAAATATGTTTATATGTTCAGACCTTCACCAACACACACAACTAACCATGAGCTGAAATGAACATGCATTTAGTAAACATTCACACATGTTAAACATCTGTGTTTCTTCTAGAAAGGATATACATGATCTCAATGGGATCCATGGTTACTGGAGGAGCACTGCTGCAGTCACACTTATTGTCCACAACAACCATGAAGAGGTTGCTGCTGGGAATCTGCTGTATGACAAAAGATCTGCAGCCCAAACAGAGACAAAGACTGGAATTAAAATCTTATAATAAGGAAGTAGTACATCTACTGTTCAGAGATATTGTTAGAAAAGGGTGTGGTTAACTATTTTAAGTTGGCCTGAAGCAGTACCTGACACAGCCTTCACATTCGATGTTGCCCGTTGTTTCTTTAATGGTGCGTTCAGAGACAAAGGCAGGATATTCTGTGTCACATGGCACCATCATTGTTTTACCCCGAGATCTCTGAGCTGAATGTGTGTGAAAGGAAATTAAGAACCACAGAAGTTGACTAAACCACAGATAAGCAGAGAACGTGTCCAGTTCTCTCACACTTTCACCTCTCTTTTCACATACAACAAACATACAGATAGCAGCTATAGTTACCTTTAACTGAAAGATCGACATTCCACCAGCTGTACAGGTTAAATTCTAGCAGAAAACTAAAGAAAAAAACAAACATCACATTGAAACAAATGTTTCTATGGACAGAAAATAGTAACTAATATGTACCCTAACCTTAACCCTAACATTAGCTAATAGTTCACCAATGTCACCAAAGGTATGAATTGTTAATTTGACATTTATTACTTTTTAAGAACATTAACCAAAGGTTATTAAATTAGTATTAGGTAACCATTTACAAATGTGTTGTGTTGTGTGGACATGTTGACTTATGAACTAATCTTAGTATATAGTTGATAGGATGTAATATCTAAATACTTTTATAACTTATTTAAGTGATGAAACCAATGATAATTAAAAAAGTTGATTATAACTTATTTTTGTTCTTATCTAACACTCACTATTATTTAAATATGCCCCTATTATAAAAAAGAGTTACCACATTTTGTAAATGATATCATGTATTGTGTGGGCCCATATAATAAACACTTTTGAAATGTTTTGTGTTATTCTTACATAACAAGTTCAGTCAGGAGCCACCTAACAACAGAGAAGGGCTGAAAGAGAGAACAGTATATAATGTTATAATCTGTGTGCAAAAGGAAACAATGTTTAAGGTTTTTTTAAATGAGTTCATTCTGTACTGATGTTCCCACCAGTGTGCAAACACTGCTGACCACAAAGTCTGAGAAAGGTAACAAGGTCTATGCTGATGATTTTAACTCTGGTCAAACAAAATGTACAGTTAGTGCACCGCAGATGATAAAAATGATTGCATCATATGTGTCTATCTTTAAATCTACCAGCTAATGTTCTGTCACTTACATCTGATAAAGTGCGTGCACTGTCACTGCTCCCAGCATACTCTTTGCAAAGGGCCTGGTAATCTAACAGCGTGATCCTGCAACACAAACAGAGCAGGTTGTAATAAACATCAAATATGACATCAGGTATATAGTTTTATGGTTATTAGGTTTATCAGTTCAGGGCTCAGAGAAATGTTTGTGTCTCCGACCTTTTGAAGGACCCCATTTGGAGAAGTTTGTTCATAACAGCACCCTCCACCTCTCCAAAGAAGAGCCCTGTCTGAGAGAGAAGTTATGTCAAAGCACACAGACACATAGCTTAACACATCCAATTGAAAATCCCTCAAATAAGTTGTAATTTAAGATTTCTCTTAAAGAACTTATACAACACTGTGAAATACTCCACTACATGTACAAGTCCTGTATTAACAACCTTACTTAAATAAAAGTATGTACGTATTATCAGCTAAATCTATTTAAAGTATGAAAAATAAAAGTATTTCCTGTTCCTGTCAGTGTTTTACTATTATATAAGATGTTTCTTACATTATGAACTGCAATATTGATGGATCCACAGCAATCCATCAATATTCTATAAGATCATCATATATTTGTAGCGTTGCTCTCCTGTAAGAACAATGCATGTCTAAAAAGTAAACTTTTCATGAGCTTCAGCTTTGTGACGGTGCATATTCTAGCTCGTGTTATACAAGGTTCTCACTGGACAGGAGGGGTGAGTGACAAACTGTAATCTGAAAAGTAACTATATTAACTAAAGCTGTCAGATAAATGTAGTGGAAAGAGTTAATAGTATAAGCACCACCACTGGACAGACACTCATTAAAAGAGGAAGCCATCTTGTGGGAGTAATCTATTGTCTGCATAGTCATATCACATGTATATTCTACAGGGTTCGGTGTGTACTGAAGGTGGTGAGGCCATTTATATTATCAAATGTTAACATTATTGAATCTCTGTTCTGAAGTGAAAAATACAAAGGAGACTTTTATTGCCATCCTCTATCTTTCATCCTACTTCCCTCAAGATCTTCTAACTTTCCTCTTTGGAAGAAAGGTCCAGTGTTCCTCTGTATGCACTTTTGAGACTTGTGGGGGAAACATCTAAGGCATTTTGTGTTTTGTTTCCAGCATTTCAACTTTTGTTTCAACTTTTGTTCATATGTAGATGTGAACATGTATACATAAACATGAACACAGTACCTGAGATTGCTCCTCTGTGACAAGAATGAAGCCGTTGTTGTCAATGAGATAACAGTTAATGTCCTGTCAGAAGAATAAAAAGATTATGTTACCAAAACAACCAAAACCAGAAAAAAATGTAAAAAGTCATTGTTTTGTGACTGTTCTTACCCCGTTATCACAGCTAATGCTACATTTTCCATCAAGAGCTGTACACTGAGGACAAAACATTTAGTTTAGTTTCACACCTAGTCAGGGAACTCATTTTATTGTAAAACATGCTGCATTATTTGTTGTGCTTTTACCTGTCTGCAGGCAGTCCAGAACTTCCTCTGAAAGAACTCAAGTTTCATTTGGATCCCTACAGCTGAGCACAAGAGCAACCACATAAGAAACTGCACAATATCCAGAAATACTCAATAAGTATTTACATAAAGATAGTAATAAATGAGGTTGTACCTGCGACAATAGGAGACTTTCTGTCATCGAGGAGCTGGATTGCTGTGCTGGCCAAAACCACACTCTTATTTTCTAAAGCTGGGGATGAAGAGCAGATAATAAACTTCAGATTACACTTATTGCTCACTAGATGGCGCCCTTTACTCAGCAGAGTCAGTTGGCAGGCTCAACAGAAACTGCAGTACCAGGCTATTACTTTATAGTAATGGAGTCCAGTCAGAGCTTTTTCTACAGCCAGATGACTCTAATAATTCCGAAATGGGTGCTGTGATAAGACATTTCAGGTTATGATGGCAAAGACTGAGTGGATGCAGTCATCATTAACAGAGGAAAGGTGGTAAATGTCCTGGGGAGTGCAACTGAATTCTCCCTCCTCTGGCCAGCAGACAGAACGTGGGCCACATTAACTGCAGAAAAGCTGTGAGGGAGGTGAGCTGTGCTGCACATCCTATCAGTGGAAACCAGTAAAAACCACAATCCGTAACAGAAAGAGGGACATAGAAGAAGACTGATTAAGATGTTAAATGCTGAATGATTAAGGCAACCAGATGAACTACCAAAAGTGCCCTATATAATGCTGCAAGCGATAATTAAAAGTATATTGAGAGGGACTTGTGTAACGTAAGATGCAGATAATTTAGCATCAATAGACTAGTGTAGTTTGGCGCGGGCAAAGGGAACTTTTATTTGGCTCTGCACACTTTAGCTACTATCTCTTATTTCTGGTTTTGTTCTGCATACCTGTACTGAAAGGGATGGAGTAGACAAATGTGCCGGGGACCTGCTCTGCCGCTCTCTTGTACCACAGAGGGAAGTGATCAGCATTAAATACACCTTCCTTGTCCTCCGCTGTCAGGAAATCTCTGAGGAAGCACACAGAATGAGGGTAAGGTGAGGAGCAAAGGATCAGATTCATCAAGCACAATCACAGCCTCGCCTCGCGCTGTAAGTAATGATTAGGGAAATGTTGAGCAGCGGCACTCACTGATTGGAGAGCTGATCGCCGGGTACAAACAGGTTGGTTCTCGACAGGCCGGTGCGTGTACCCAGGAAGGTAATCTCCACTCCTTTGTCTGAGTTCCTGTTGGTGTAATGCAGAGCAGTGGCACATAAGCACATGTATACATCCTTCCATACATTTAGAAATGTATTTATGCAGTGTGACCAGATTGTTGTTTCTGCTGCTGATTGTACTGAATGGGAAGTTCTTGGTGCAGCTGATGTAGCTCTAATCTTAGAGGTATATTGTAAAAATACCATATTTAGAGAGTTGGACTGTATGATGTTGCATCTTCTCAAGCTTACTTGCTTATTATTTATTCATATCATGTTATTCATTTGTGGGCTTTTCATGGTTTTGTAGAAAAATAAGGAATTTCAAGTCCGCAATTTGAAGTCAGTGACTGGGCACTTCTCTTGATGTTTGATATTTTATAGGATAAAATATTAATGGTTTCATAACAAAATAATAATTGATTAACAAATTGCAAAGCCTTATATGAGACAGCCTGTTAAATAGGTAGGTTCACATTTTTCAAGTTTGCCTCACATGTCCGTATGTAAAACCATTTTTGGTCACTGATTGTATCCTCCTGTACATACTGGCTGTGGAAAAAAAAAACCTTCCTATTATTGTAAATAATGAGTCCACAATCCTCATAGTGTGCAAAAATGAATGAAGTTCAGCGAAAGCTAATACAAGACCTCAGCAGTTTGATTAAAACAAATTAAGTGTGTATCTTCCAATGTTAGTCTTCTATAAGTACAAAATACTCCCTTTTTGTTTCCCTCCCTGCACCACAAAGAGGGATAGAACTGTAAATTAAGAAGATAGAGCTTAATTTGGATAATTTAGACTGATGAGGCCTCACATTAGCCTGATGTGAAATAAGCCTGTGGATTTTGCAGTTCCTGCGGTCTCTTACTGTACCCTGAAATTGCTTTAAGAAGGGATCTATTAACAGCCTGTACACACAGGAGGAACAATTAACGCAACAGTGCTCCAAAATGTTACTTTATACATGTTAAGGGTTTGAAACTCTTTTTGATTTTAATGGCTGATAATGCTTTAAATATCAGTTATAAGCCATTAATTAGAATAATGTTGCAATATTATGGATTATTGTAAGACGCTTTCATTATTAATTTGCTAACGTGTATAACTGCAGATGACTTACACTTACTGATGGCTTATTAGACTTTAATTAGACTTTTAATAAACTGCCTTTATTCATGACTTACTAACACTTCTAAATGTACACTTGACCAAAATGTTCTTACTCCGACTTGTTGAGGGCAAGTCCAGTCCAGTAGGCCTCCAGTGGAGCAGTGACCACAGCATCAAATAAGACCTCCTGGATCAGCTCTCTGTCACCTGCACAGTTTAAAGACCTGATTAACCATTAGAAACCTTTTTGTCCAAAAACATCCATCTTGTTTACTATGTTTGATTACAGTTTGATCACAGATAAAACAGGCTCTCTGTAGTCTAATTCATTAAGGTCTGACTCGGACGTCTCTAACATTTCAGATGTGGTCTGCGGCCCGTCAAGAAGAGCTTGATGGCTTGAATCTGGGTCAGGTGACGGTGCTCGTGCTGCTCCTCTGTGTTGCAGTAAGTCCTGTGGCCCAAACAGAGACACACTGTTACATCACAGGCCTCAACATCTCTGATGAACACAGAGGGATAACCTACATAACGCATGAATGCCCACTTCCATAACCCCAGCGTTACCATTCATCTGCCAGGGCGACATCTGGCTGTTCCAGATCACGGAGCCCTGAAAAACACAAGTCAGTAACGCTTCAGCAATGCCAGCCTGGGAAGACTGATACAATAAACCCTCCCAAACAAGCAGGTCAGAGTGACATACCTCTCACTGTACTCAGGCTTTTATTAATATAGAGTAAATGACAGTGTGAGTGACATACCAGCTTCAACTGATACATTTCCTCTGAAGAAGTACTTTCCATGACCTCTGGAGAGAGCTACGCCGACACTGGAGACACGAAACAGAGGAGAGAATCAACCAGTGAGTCGACATTTAACTCTAACCAAGACATTAACTGACAGAAAGGCGTTTTAGGAATGTAATAAAACTTTTCCGTCACCTGAATGGTGTTCCTTTGATGTCAGTGTAGTAGTAGTCATTGTGCATCTTCAGGACACGTCTCTAAAAGAGAAGAAACAGAAGCGCAGATGAGATTTGCTCCTATAGTCTAGAGACAAGGGAGAGAGAACAAGCCTCATCTGATAGGGAGACACTAAACATCTTTATCTGCAGCCTCACCCCTCTATCCACTGTCTTCTTCACCTCCATAGAGAAAGTCCCTGTCCTCCTGTTCACCATAGCGTTGCGTAGCTGAAAGATAAAGCACACAAAGAGGCATGTAGAGCGGAGAAGTCGAGGCTGGGTCATTGATCCGGCAGCCTGTATGTCGCTGCCATTTTACTGGAATAATACAAAATGTACTGGACAAACTAATGAGCACTAATGAGCAATCCTGTGACAATGTAAAATCAAGGCATTGTGTCAGTTGCAAATAACACCAAAGCACATCTAGTGTTTCATATGGCACACAATATACATGTTTTGGTTTTAGGGCTTTAACACGTACGATATCATCTTTGTCTTCCCACTCCACCTCAGAGAGATCCACGCTGCTGTAGTTGGGCTTCCTCCTCTTCTGACCATCCTGATACTGCACACAGGAACACAATATACACAATTTAATGATCCCTTTTGTGTAATGATGTTTTATTTTGACTAAACGTTTAACCACGATTTAAACATGTCTGCTATTCTAACCTCACTTAACTGTGAAATCTACATGGGACACATAATTTTCCAATTTTGAGTTTGATATTAAAGAAATAAATAATATGTAGGAAAGCTTCGCTGTAATCTGTCTTTTGTGTTTTGATGTTAAAATAAAGACTTGCTGTATGGTCTTATTTATCAGGCCTTGTTTTGGAGGTTTTGCTGTCTAATTATTTAACAAATCGTCTGTGAAATTAAAACTGTCAGGTAAATTAAAAATAATTAATATGATTGATGGGATATCCACGCTCAAACAAGTCAACATCAATGCATTTTAGTGTACATGTCAAACTCTGCTACTGTCTGTCGTCTGGTCCACAAGAAACAAGAAAGTCAATGACTACAACCACAGCACAGTTTTAGCCACAAAGAGACACTCACAAAAAACCAACACAGACCAACACACACACACACAGTTGCACAGAGAGGAATAGCACTAACACTGGCACACACAGATCCACTAGCACAGCCATAGCTCCTGAGGAACCAGCGGTCCCAGGGCGAGCGGCTGTGGTCTCTGCCAGTGAGTGTTAAGTTACCTCTGGGAAATCTCAGGCCAGCCAGCCCTATGTGTGGCCTTTATCCCTGCATGCATACATCAAAGGAAAAGGTGGGGATTACAGACTATACGAGCCCATTTAGCCTCCTAACCAGATAACACATTTGTCTCTGTGTGCACTCGTTAATGGAGGCGTTCAGTTCATCATTTTGGTTATGCATACAATTGCATGGACAAAACTAAAAGAAAAAACAGGGTAAAGTCTGGGAATGCTGTGACACTGTTCTGGTGTAAAAGTAATGTTAAGAAACTAAGTTACCAAAGGTCTGAGGTCCGGGTGTGTCAGGATGTAGCCGTTGTTTGTGATAGCAAATGCGTACCCATGGATTCCTAACTAGAGACACAAAATACGATACATGAGGAAGTAACTTTAAAAAATTTATATTAATAAATTCATTTATTCAAAGCAAAAGTACAAGAACAGCTGATTGTACCATATGTTTGGGGATAAGCTTCATCAGCTCCTGCAGAGGGATGTCTGTTCCTACGACCCCCAACAGGATACCCTGGTTCTTCTGCATGAAAAGATTCAAAACACACAGTCACAACTTTAGATGAAAACTGAATGAATATTCAATCATTCAGCAGTGGTGGAAGAAAACCTCAGATCCTAAAAGTGCAAAAATACTCAATACTCATGTCCAGATATCATACTAAAGTACTAATGTCTGTAAAACGTCTCTTTGGTGGAACAGTTTGGATATCTCGAACGTGGACACTTTGCTTTTTCCTAATTTGTCACAAGCCAAAAGTATTGTGAGCTCTTCATTTAATCCAGAACAATGTATTAAATTTTATAAGCGTGTGTTTCTTTTTTATTTAATATTTGCCTTTGAAATGTTGTGGAGTGGTATATACTAGCAAAAAAAAGTATAGTACAAGTACGTCAAAATTGGACGTTACTTTCCACCACCGTCATTCACTCACCGTTTCATTCTTTGTGCTGAAGACAGGCATGGCGACTGTAGTCATCAGACTTGGGCCCGCTTTCTCATTTAACTGAAAAAAAAAAAAAATGTTATCTTAGCTAAAAATAATATGTAAACATCAGTCAAATGTAAAAACTGCACAGAAAAAGAAATACATTTAAATGACATTATACTATACTGCATATATATTCAATATTTAGACAAATTAAAATTCCAAAAGTGTTTTGTCCTTGAATTGCTAACTACAGCATTGATACTATGTTATTGATGATGTTAAAACAATAATTGTATTCCTAAACAAAACCTATAAACTATTTTAAATGAATATTAAAAAAAACAACTACAAAAAAAACCATTGGACATGGAAACGTTTATCAATGTACAGTTTCAGTATAGCAGCTCATTACCAATGAGGAGACAGCGTAACTGACATGAAATTCAATTAAAATTTCCAGATTGAAAAGAGAGGAGCGTGAGTTATTGAGTGGGGAATAACAGCCTCAGGACTGGACAATAACTAAGCCAAAGGTGGCTTCAAATTCAAGTAAAGAACAATTAAAAAAAAAAAAAATTTACTCGCACAAAATGTTTAAAAGCATTCAATTCCAAAATCATAGTCGCAGTCTTTCTGCTGTCAAACTTGAACTGTGTGAGGAGAAAGGAGATGAGGTCAGTTTGGTAGGATGAAGGCTGACATAATTAAGCACATGAGCACCATTAAAGTAGGTCTGCTATTCCCTCACCTTGACGCAGCTGAGTGTGCGTGTGTGTGTGGTTTAGTTGATGTTCATTTGTGTGTGAGCAAACGAGCTGTGAACTGCAGTGTGTACTTGCTAGCTTGACAAAATGAAGAATGGTGGGTCCTTAAATGCACACAATGGAAGTGGAAACTGGACTGCTTCAGTCTACACACACACACTCATACACACTCAGGTAAAACCATGTACGCCTAACCACCTCTCTCTCTCTCTCTCTCTCTCTCTCTCTTCCTTTTCTTCCTCTCTCTCTTTCTTGGTCTCTTCTCCAATGTCAGTTTTATTATGGGCTTTAGGAGATAAAATGCAATGATCCACAGAATGATGAATGGTGTGTCTGAGGCTGAGATACAAGAGCACACACTCCAGAGGACAATCTCCCAACCCTTCTGTGTGTGTGTGTGTGTGTGTGAGTGTGTGCATGCTCATCGCCTCCATACTGGAAAGTACAATAAATGCTCCTCTACTTCTCCTGCCCCTCAGAGAGAAGAGCCTCTCCTCACCTCAGACTTCCAATGTAATATTAAAGCACAGTGTTGAAAAGTATGGCCAACAATAAGCAGCTATTTAACCTCTCAAGTCACTTCTACTCCCAGTGGACACCTTATATTACCTGCCCATGATCTCCTTTCTGACACAAGTTCAGAACCTCTTCCTAAAGCTTCCGGTCGACTATTTTATAATACATATGTTTCTACCTGAGAGCGCATAAAGATCAGATCACATGTAGATATTTACCTTATGAGCCTGGGAAAGCTGAAATGAAAGAAAAGACACACAAAGATTGAATCATGCAGTAAGTTAAAGCCTTCACATTGTGCATTGACTTTGTGGACACAGATGTACAACATTGGGGGGGGGATCCATGCAGATTAATGAAGCTCATAATGAGGAATCATTCCAGCAGTATGAAGAATAATGATGAGAAAGCAGACACACACATGTGCACACTTACTGTACAGTACATTGGTGGACAATATAACATGAACATCTTGCAATATGATATAATGCAGGCTATCAACACCTCTCTGAAGCAATACAATGTACTGCATTGCCTTGTACGTGAGAGATTCTTGTTATTTTGTCTGGCCTCTGTAGAAAGCACCTTGCTCCACACTACATACAAGCATGCAATCTCACTATATAAATGTATATTGGGAATGAGGACTAATAACTTGGACAATTGCAGTATACTGCTATTTATACTGCTTTAGACTAAGAAGTAAAATGCTTACAGCGCTGTCCACGTAAGCTTCAGTCCACACTGTGTCATGCTCGTGGTCAATAACCTTCGGGCGGCTCATGACGTGAAGGTACCTCATCACGTTCTCCTGAACGTCTGCTAAGGTGGAGATCTGACTGAAATATCCTGCAATTAAACACAAACATATTAACCTGAAATGAGGCCCAGCTTCCATATATTCCACAGTGTACAGTCCTACATGCATTTGGACCATTTAAGACTACACATCCAAAAATAAACCTGATATCCAGTGGTAGAAGAATCAGATCAGCGATGTTTAGCCCTGCATCTAAAACTTAAATAAAAGTACTATCAGTGAACAGGGCTGTAACTCAGATTTTTTGAAATAATGAAATCATGTGACCAAGTTTCCCCAGTGCACAAAAGGTGCAAGGTGTCTCTTTTCCTTGTTATTAAGATTTTTCATATTCATTTATTCAGTTTACTGTTTAATGTAAAATTCTACATTTCATAAATTAAAATGTTCTATATGAAGGATTAAATGCTGTCTTCTTCACACTGCATATAAAATATCCATCATGTTTATGTTTTTAATTGTAAAGGCAACCCACATTGCTAAACCAACACAATTGCTACAGAGCTATCAGCAATATTAAGCATTAAAGAAAGTAGTAGGAGTAAGAGTGTGATTGTAAGTATATTTTATATTATTTGTTGATTATTAATGATGATCATGTAAGCAGCATTGTAGGAAGGTGGAGCCAATTTTAAAGCCCCAATTCTGGCTTTGGTAACTCCTACTGGAGACAGAACACAATACATGTTCATATACACCTCCCCTTCCTCCAAAGGTATTCAATGGATTTAATCAGGGATAGCAATATGTAGACAACAATTTTAACCAGTATTTTTCTGTAATGTATGTATACCAATACGAATAATTTAAAAGATGCTTTAATGGCGTTAAAATGATACACAATGGGGCATTAACTGACTGTTGGGTAGGGTAGTTAAGTCTATGACATTATTCTTAATCTGCAAAGTAACCAGACATGATGACTGTAAAATCATAGAGAAAAAGTACTTCCTTCTGAATGTAGTGCACTACATATGCACTAATGTACTTAGTTACTTTCCACACCTGTCCCTGACATTCCTGTACTGTACTGAGCCACTCTGGAAACAGGTTTCTAGTGGTTCAGCTTAAAGCGACACAGGAGCCATTTGACTTGGTGTCAGTTCCTGCTGATGCTGACAATGCTTCATATTGGACATGTAAGGTTATTCCACAGTGGGGGTCTATATGGGGAAGGATGTTTGGGGCTAGTCGCCCCACAGTCCCTCTGTGATCTGTTTTCCTGCCTGCGACTTTCCTTTCCAGAGGGCACTCATCCGGAGCGTTGACACGTGGGAGCCATCAGCAGCGAGCAGCCGAGGGGGAGACACTCTGACAGGAAGAGGGATTAGAGCGGATTGACCTCTGACCCCCCCAAGTGCCACTTCATTGCCTCTTGGCAGAAAGAGTCTGAGCCAGCACACATGCATGCACACACAGAACCATACACACAACATACACATACACAGCCAAACCACATGGATACCAGAACACATCCTCAACCTATCATATTATTCCACAGAAACACCACATCAGACCGTATCCGACACTCTGACATGAAGCTGTCTTAAGAAGCATTTATCAAAAAGTCCCAAACCTTTGTTGGCACAAGCCATCCATTTGAGGTTATCAGCAAAAGCAGACTCTCGGCCAATCAGGTAAGGGAATATTCGCACCTGTGCAGAGGACACATAGATGTCGACAGCTTCAAAGATGGAAGGATTAAAAAAAAACATGCAAAGTGATGTGACTCCTCAGTACTTTATCTTCCTGTCCTGATTCTATCTGGCTCTGGTGCAAGAAGTCGCTGCATGTTTTTACATCCTCATTAGGAAACATTGAGCAGTAAGCTGCTTTTCCAGATCTTCTCTTCATTATTTACCTATTTTCAGTCCATCTTTGTCCACATTTTAACAGTAAGTTGTGGATTTTTTTCACTCTCTGTAGTTCAATTCAGTTTATTTTCTTTTGTTGGGGGTTGGGCATGGGGGCATGTGCCACTGTCCTTTCAAAGAACGCTGTGTGACACTTTGCCAAACCTGCACGGCTCATTGGCTCCAGATGCTTTGCTAAGCATAAAGCATATAGAAAAAAAAAACTGAATGGCTGCCATATAGCAGCCCTGAGGGTGTCTGAGGGGGGGCAGGGTTGCCTGCCAAATACTGCCCTGTACCCTGCCAAACACTGCCAACACACATATGCTTGATAGGACTGAACAAAAGCCCCTGAGCTGTTGTTTTTATTGCTTTGTGAGTGGCACAGCAGTCCATTTCATTTCAATTGCATTTAGGTCTTACAAAGGGAGGCTAACAAAAGATTTTAAAACCAGCCTTGAGTCCAAGAAGAAGTGTGGAGAGAGCAAAACAGTGCAGGGACGACGACCAGAGCACTGTTTATAATCTGCCCTTGAAAGCAGTTAATTTCTCATGTTTTATTCCTCGTGGGGGAAACATTTCTCTGTAATGTGTCAACGCATTGAAAAACACCATATTGACAAGGATCTTACATTCCAGAGTAATGAGCGGTAATGAAGTAAGAAACCAATTCCTCAAAATGTCAAGACAGGAGCTCAACCTGGCATAAAGTATTAAAATGTCCATCTATCCCCGGAGGAAGAAAAGTGCAGGGCAAGCAGAAACTTCAGAAAAACGACATGTATAACATTGAAAATTAGACATTACGTGGAACTGAAGAGAAAGAGAGAAAGAAAGAGAGTCACCTTTCTTTCTGGCCAATTGTACTTCTCAAAAACGTCATCATACATTTCAGTCGCCCCGTCGGTCACTAGCATTATGGCCTGGCTGCACACGCTGCCACGTCCAGTTTGATTAAACTGCAGAATGAGACAAAACACATAAGGATATACATTAAAAATCAAATCTGAGTTGTTATTTAAAAATTACACAAACCAGCAGTGTCTGTTGTATATGAGGATTATGTTTGATAAGGCAGCTGTGCAGCCATCTGTCAATAAAATACAAATAATGTCTTACTAAATAAACCTGAAGAGTGTAGTACACTTTATTCTGATGCCAGAAGATGTATCACAGTAATTAAGTGGTTTATTGACCTGTAACAGAGTGAATGTAGGGAGAAGAGGAAGAGGAGCATGTAGTGACACGATCACAGGACAGGACAAAACCTGCTGAGCAGTGCTGCTCTCAAATCAAACAGGCCAAGCATCAGAAGGCCTTCAGACCCCTCACACACATACATACACACCCACAAACACAACATGCTAGAAAATGCAATGCCATTTGTTTGCAACGTAATGTAGTTAGGTTAATGTCTGACAACTGTTTCATCACTGCAACAGTATTTTTTGGTTCATGTGGGCAAACACCATTGACACAATACATAAACACAACATTGTCAATAGAAACAGCGCAACACGCATCTTTCGATTTCTGCCTGATGAGGTGACCATGAAGTTTTGACATTACAGGACAGCAAACAAAAAGAACTTGTGTGGAGCCGTCAGTAAGGCTGTACTTCACTTAATCCAGGTATTAAAGATTAGTTAGAGACAGTGATGCAGCAAGAACTCTTAAAGTTATTCAAGTTAATATGACATTAACTCTAAAATGTTTGATACGTCTGATTTTATAAAATTGTAAACTATAATGTTCATGTTCAGGTACCTTAGAATGAATAGGAAAAGTAAGATGATAATCCACAGTATTTTAATGTAATAAAATATGAATTGTTTTGTGGATATTTTGACACGTCATAGTAGGAAATGCACAGGTGTTATTAATAACATTAAAGATGACTTTGTTCTAATAAAGTGCCTCAATAAGCCAAAACAGTGTGAGTCAGCAAGCACAAAACCAAACCAGGACCCTGAAAATGGCAAAATCAGCCATCATTAATTTTATTATTTACACCTGCTATTACATGTCAAATTCTCTTCTCTGAAAAAGGCCTTTGAGAAAATCTTTTGAAAAGTCATTATTAAAGATGTTTATCCACTATCTACTGTGCAGCAACTGTCCTTTAGCCAAGCATTTGTTTGAAGGTATATTATGCCTTTTGTTTCAGTATTGTAAGTGAAAAATAATCAGTGAAAATAAATGTTAATGGAAAAAAGACATAATCAACAACAGGGATCATTAAGTAATTGATGTTGATAAAATTGAATCAGTCTTAAGCCCTCCTTGTTTGATAAGTAAATCTGATCTTCTTCTAAAATAATCCCACAAGGGGGTGGCTTACATATTTTGTGATGCTAAAATATTTTATTATATGCTCGCTGTTTTCTAATTCCTTCATATTGACCTGTGAGAGGGGGAAACTGTGTGGGCTTTTTTCTATCTGCTCTCATTCAGCTGATCAACACTGGGTGTAAAAATGGTGCAGTGCTCTTCAAGTGTTTCTTTTAGATTTGGTCCATGATAGGCTGTATTCTGACTTCATTGGGCAGTTTTGTAACAATGAATTTCAGTAGTAGGCTACTGGATACCTGATTACCATATTCATTGCAGGGCTTTAATTAATCTGACAAATGCAGAGGTAAAAGCTGCGGTCCCTCAGCTTCAGCGGCGCAGCCAAAGCTCGCCTGAAAACAGGGAGATAAAAGGAGTGCGGCGTGGCTCCTGGCCTTATCTGCTTTTGTGTTCCAATCAGCCACGTTATTAATCATTGACATTAATTAGAGCCATTAATCACGCCTCAGAATAGATGTGTCTGTGTTTGGAGGGCGGAACAGGGATAGCACTGGAGCGTTTCGACAGGCGACACACCTCCCAAACGCTCAAATATATTTGACTAGAGTGTGCTACTTTTTATGATTAGCTGAGAACACGCAGAGTGTTGTACTTGAACACTTTGTCACTGAAAACAAATGCGGCTTGTAAAAGGAAAGTTTTCCTAATGTTCTGGTCAAGTGGAGTCCGTCAATTAAGTGAAAACAAAGTGCATTTGTGATAGCTGGGCACAAATTCATTATTTTCTTATGTCAAATGAATCAATAAATAAATGAATCTTGTTGTGAAAACTCACAAATACTCAACAGCATTGTCACATAATCAGTAAACATTAAAACATAATTTTGTTGAGCTGCTTTGCGAAAAACACTTATTTAAGATTTATGTTTGCACAGCATCCCTATTAAAGTGACAGTCACAGATACTTTTATGTAAAGAGGTTTTCTGTACTGGAACTTACATCATTTAAGATAGTGAACGCTTCGGCCAGAGCTTCACCCAGCAGCCCGATCCCTTTGGCAAACAGCTTGTCCAGATGTTCACGGAAATGCTAAGAGATAACGACAATAGTGAAAAAGAAAGGTTTTAAACATTAATCACACTAATTCAACCCGATACGATCCACATACATTCATCACATGTCAGTTTGATTGCGACTCACATCTTTATTGGTTCTGTCGGCTCGGACCAGCGTGCCATTCAAACAAGGCTCCACGTAGTGGATCTCCTGATTATACTGACCAAATACAAACATTTAGGTATATTATTGTCCATGGAAGCTCCAGTTATCTGAAATACTTAACATAAATGACTTTGATAAAAAACAATTTTTTTAATAAGATTAGGCTACAGAGAAATAGGATATAAAGGACATAAATGCATATAAATGAACAAAGATGCATACCTACGGACACAAACTGAGAAAAGGTTTGTTTGGTTCAACTAAAACTTACTGCAATGACGTTGAAGAAGTCGTCATCTCCAAGTGTGTCTAATATGGAGGAGACAGTCTGCCTGGCGATGGTCAGTCTCAGCCCTTTCATGCTTCCACTGACATCAACTAAAATTACAACATCCTTAGGAGACGTTGCTGCCTGAATGTACCTGAAATATAGAGTTAAATTACACAGGTTGCAGGATGAAAACGAGAAAATAAATAATATATATTTACAAACATACGATGCAGCAACAATAGCAGTGCATTTGGTCTGGTACATCGAGGCTTACCATTTCCTGTTTCTACAGTCAAAGCCAATAACACCATGTTCATCTGGATGCCACTTCACTCCTGGGAAAGAGATCAGAAGTCAATTAACAGAAAGTATAAGAGACAGAAAATAACAACGTTTCACAATTTCACACACAAGCAGACTGACACAGGATATCAGAAATACAACTATAACACAGGTCATTCAGCTCAAAGTGTAACTGGAACCCATCAAGTCACTGTAATCCACCATTTTACAATATACAGTATGCTACACTGTTGTATGTATGACACTTACTGTAGGTATTTAAAATCCCCTCTAACAATGTATGCATTCACAGGGAGGTTCCAAAAAAGGCTGTATGTTTTAAAGGCTTTGGCTTTACAAATTGATGACCAGCAATTTTGTTTTGGATGTATTGATCTTATTGATTAAATCTATCATGATAGATGTTGGAAGAATCCTTCATTTAAGTAAAAGTAACAATACCACGCTATACCAATACTCCATTACAAGTAAACATAAAGTAAATGTCCTCAGTCCCTTTTTTACTATGAGCAAGTTGGTCCTATATGAAGATTTCTGTATGTTGCCCTGAAAGTAAGTAATAGATTAGTGTAAAATGGAAATGTAACTACCTAAAAATGTACTTTACTGCCTATTTAAACTACATTTTGAGGGCTTCTTTATTTTGACTTTTTATATCAGTATGTGCAAAATGTGAAGAGTTCAGTAAATGGTGATTTTCAAATAATGTTTAAATGATAAATAGATTGGTAAAATGGTATTGTAAAACACTTGTGAAAGAAAATCTCTTTTTTATCAATTTCCTGCAATACATTAAACATACAGAGTCCATATCTGTATTACAGTATCATCAGTCGTATCTCGTCTCCCCCACTTCGCTCCAGCACTGCAGTGAACCCACCGCCTGTTTCATATCATTGTAACGGTCTGATAACTTCAGTCGGATCCAGCAGTCATGCACTGTTCCTCAGTACGACTGTAGACCCACTCCGACAAATTCTGATTAATTACAGTCTGTATATATGCATCCTCTCTGATGGTCTGTAAAATTACAACATTAGCCAAATTACCCTTTTAGTAATTCTAAATCATTTGTTCTGATCTGTTTTTTCCACACTGCACTGATGGCTCCCTTGAGACAAGCCCCCCCCCACACACACACGGACACATGGACAGACAGTGAATTAGGACGACAGGCCGACAGAGTGTCAGGACTCACCAGGGTACTGCCTGAAGAAACCCTTGGCGCTCCCAAAGTACTGCCAGATCAGTGTTGGGTCTCTTTCAAAATTATCTACAAATACTTTATTCAGAGCCTCGGACCAGTAAACTCCATTCACTATGTCAGGATCTAAAGAGGATGAGGGCCAAGACACAGAGAGGGAAGAGAGAGAGAGAGAGACAAGTAAATTAGGCGGTAATAATGGTAATCATCCTGGTCATCATTACCGAGTGCACAGTTGACCTTTGTCACTTATTGACCTCCCTGAAGTAGATACAATGCCTGTGACTAAATCCTCCCCTCCCCTCCTCCTGCTGGACGAGTCTCCCTTTGTGCTGTGAAGAGAGAGTTATGGGGAGTCCATTATAGCCAAACAAAAGCAGCCCTGGTGATACACAGGGAGAGGTGACACACTCCGTTAGAAAACAAGAAGCGGCTGAACAGCTAGCGTATGACAAACATCTTTCCCATCCCCCCCCTCTGGGCTCTTTCCAGTCTCTCTGAGAGGTCTGCAGTTGCTTTCTCTTTATGTCTGGACTGTTATCGATCCCCTCAACTCCACTTCTCCTAGCCTGTGACACGGATACAGCTTCAACTACCATTTCTCACTTTCACCACTTACTTTCCCCCCTCCTCTACTCCTCCCCGTTCATCAGCTCACAGTAGGTAAAAAACACTCACATAATATTGCGTGCAGGCCACAAGCTGAGCTCTCACCTTTGTTGTACATGTTGGTGGGCACCTGCACCACACTAAGGCTCAGGTTGACTGACAGGTTATTGAAATGGTCGTTGGGCTCCAGGAGGAACTCTCCTCCCAGCTCTACGTTATTGCCCATCTCGTCCACTTCATTGATCAGCACGGCGTTGAAGTACTCATACTGAGGAAAAGAGTGTATACAGCAAATGTTAACTGAAGCCTGCAGAGAGGTGCAGACATATTTTGCATTACCCTTTTAGCTCAAAAATATATATACAGTATATATATATATATATACACACACACACACACACACACACACACACACACACACACAAACACGCATATCATAATAACAGTGTTGGCATAAACACTTCTAGGATAGGATAGGTTCACATCAAGTCTATCTTAAAACAGTACTCACATGCCCATAGGTTTATTAAAAACTGTACTTTCTTGCTGTAATCAATATAATAATATAATATCAATATGTCCATCAAGTGATGGGAGAGAAAATAATTCCATATCTAAAATTCAATCAAAACTAAGTCTGAGCAGTCTGAGTTAGTCAAATCAAGTGAGTAACTTCCAGTGTTACAGTCTTTTTAGTATAAAATTGGTGAATTCATTTAATTTCTCCTGAAAGTGTTGCTGCAGCAGAGAAATCATGTTAGGAACAATTACAGCAACCAAAAACTGTTTCAATAAACAATGCCAGTGCATAAAGAAATATTGTTTTACGTAAGGCAGACTTGTCGAAATGTGGATCTATCCCTTAAAGGTGCGATGTGCAGGATTTTGTTGAATCTTGCAGTGTAGTTATAGATTGAAACTCCCTCACTTATTAACCTTTCCCTCCAAGTGCAAAGAAAAAACTATGATGGCTGCAAAAAGCCTGAAAAATGTGATGGGTCCTATCTAGAGCCAGTGTTTGGTTGCTCCATTGCGGGCTACTTTAGAAACGGTTAGACATAGCGGACTGCATGGAAAGCGACCCAAAACCTCTGTAGATAAAGATGACTTATTCAAAGTCAACAAAAAGCTAAAAGATAACAACAAATAAGACAATTAACATTTTCTGGTTATTTTACACTAATAAAAAAACATACCGGTGAATATTATATTCCATTTCTGCCAATAGATCCTCCTAAATGTTACACACTGAACTAAGTGGCTAAAAACATTTTCCTCATGCAGGTCCACTACCGATTATTTATCAAATGCTCAATAACGTGTGCTTAGTCCTCCTAGCATCATATGCAATCAGATCAGAAATCCTAAAATCAGATGAGAGATGTAAAAAGGATTTGAGTAAAAACAGTCTCACAATAAAAAAGAGAGAGAGAAATATTACAACGGAACACGTTCGACATTACATTAATTTGTCCAAAATGACCTAAATTATTTTCCCCACACACGCACACTTTGGGAGTAATTTGGGGTTCAGTGTCTTGCTCAAGGACACTTGGACAAGAGGAAGTAGGGATCAATTATTCTGCAGTCAGCCTAAACTACAGTCACTCAGAATTAATCAACAGTAATAAGTTTGAGTTTGTGTAATTCAGTTTTTTAAAACGTTTTTTAAAGTGTTTCAAAATGTTCATAAACTACAGCGGCTGTAATTGTCACTGAGGTCTAAGAAGGACCTGGACTTTGAAAACGCCGGCCTCCCTGAAGTGAAACCCAACAGTTTGTCTGTCCTGTCCTTCAATGCCTGCTGCAGCAGAAGAAAGACTGCCTCATCCTGTCTGAGCGGCCTCGCTGTGGCCTCTGGTCCTTATTGTCTGCACTGAGAGGGAAAAAGAGGGAGGGACGTAGGGAGGGAGGTAGGGAGAGATGGGTGATGGACTCTACAGCATCACACTTGGGGGAGGCCGCGCGGGCATCACCATCAAGCAGCCCCTGACAGCTCATACCACGCCTGAGCAACTCTCTGACGAGCTGCGGCTGGGCGGGGGGGAGGAGGGGAGGAGGGATGCAGAGGGGGAGCAGCAGGGGAGAGAAACGTGCACCCTCAGCAGAACTGATAGTGCTGTACAGTGGCACGTTAACCACCAGGGTTATTACTGTAGAGCAGGCCATGGGACACTGCAGCTCTCCGAGACGCCCCACTGACTCTTACACCACTGCAGTTAGCTGTAGGCCCTACTGCAGAGATCTGCCCTCCATTACAGGCTGCTGGGCCTTACTGTATAACCAGACTCCAATATCAGGAGATACTGGGTCCCAATAAGCTTTTTTCTGTGCACAACAGGCCCTGAGTCATACTGCAGTTGTTATATCTAACAGCTTCATCCAAGCTTCCTGATTGCATTGTTCAAGGGAACGTGTTGTTTAAGATGTTAAGTTACAGTAATATGATCAACAAAACCATTCAGAATATGAGCAAAATGCACTTTGAGCAAATTACTCTGTAATATAATTCTACTGGGTCACCTCTAATTTTGATGTTTAAGAAACACCAGTAAAGCAGCAAGAAATTAATAGGAGCATGTGGACTTAAACAACCTGCTCTTCCCATTAATTTTTTTCTGTAATATTCATGTAGAAAATATGAAACACGCAGTAAGTTATATTATTATTGTTATTATAATTCATAAATTAAACAATAATGTTTACTTTCTTATGCATTAAATCTTTCATGGCCAATCACAAAAGCAGAAATTAAGGCCTTTAATTATTTTAAGTTAAACAAGGTTTTGGCAAAAAAGATGAAACCTTGATTAAAAACACACAAACAAAATGTAATTCTCTACTGTGACGTTTTGTTTGTTTAAAATGTGATTTTAGATTTTCACTTTCATATTTCTGAAGTGCTCCTGAATTTAAAAAGCTAACAGAGGCTTTTTCTAGGCCTACATAAATGTTGAAAGTTGAAAGCAAAAGCTCTGTTAGCAAACACTGAACCAAAGACACATTGCAGTAAATACAATTTCTGAAGTAAGAGCCAGGTTTCTGTTGCTCCGTCAGACCTGATCTGCACACCCTTGAACCGCGGCTACACTCGGGTCAATGCAAAACACCCGACTGTCCTGACAAGAAGCAGCTGAGATAAGAGCAGCCGGCTTATCTCATTGTGGTCAGTGAAATGGTGCGTGAAAAATGTGTGGTGTCAGGGGAGGCGAGGTTGGCTAAATGATGCCACAAGGAGTAATATCATGACATCATATCATTATCGCAGGTGGATATTGAATTTGCCTTATTATTTTTTATGGCCTTTAAGATGAAATGTCTGTGATAGGCCTGTGCTGTATGTCAACTGCATGCATAAAACAAAGTTAGAATAGCTTGGATTCATCAAATGTATTTTTATTGGTAGAATCTTTTATTTTTCATGTTATAAAAACACTTTAATGGTTGTGATGGTGCCGTTAAAATGCAATATATAAAGATAAATATTTGTCTCAAAACATAGATAAGAAGATAAGATAACTATTATTTTATGATAGTTAATCAGAAGTAATTGCAGAAAAACACATTTGTAACAAGAATATTATAAAGAATGTAATTAATATTGCTGTTTTTGGGGGTTTTATTTGTAGAAACTACATATATATTGCTTGATTTAACGATTAACAATAATAGGTTTCAGAGTGAGAGAAGTAAACTTTCTATAAATCATCTTTTCTTACAGCAGCCTGAATATAATTCAATACAAATATGTAATAAAAACAAGTCCCACACCGGCATAAATCCTTCAGTAATGTTTTTTGAGCAATCTTTAGAGGGATAACGCAATATTGTAGATGTATTAAATCTAAGTAAAGTATTTTCAAGGATAATGGTTAAAACAACAACACAGGCTATCATTTATTATTAGTCAACAAATAGCAGTCGTATTTTTTGTTTAAAGGTACAATCTACCTGTCTTGTTATGGCTGTGTGAACAGCAGAGGAACGGGCAGGGAACAAGGTGACTGAAATGTATTCATATGATGTAAATGCTTCTATTAAGTGTAAAGTGCTGCCGTTATTTCAGTGGGTTGTTGCTCGAGTGGGTTTCCAATCTAGAGCCATGAAAGTGAAACAATGCGCCGCGCAAAAGAGTTTCATTTATCTTTGTCCACTGGACAGAGAGAGAGCAAGGGGAGAGAGAGAGAGAGAGAGAGAGAGAGAGAGAGAGAGAGAGAGAGAGACCACACTAACAAACGACAGAAATACTGCATTCCCACTGCAGACACTGAGGAAGCTCTGTGTTCCCTGGAAATCCGCAATGAGAGCCACTAAATATGTCCTGAACAGAGTCGGAGCGCACGCACACATCCTGTGAAATACAATTAAAGTAGAAGAAATAAGGGGCCGACTTCAGTCTCCCATTTCTCTCCCTGCTCCAGTCTGTATGGCCACACAGTCCAGCACAGTATCTTCTAACATATCAGTACTTTAATTAAAATATCTGATCATGCATTACGCACTGCCTTTAATTCTGCATTTAAAAAGAAAGAAGATCAGTAAAGATCTTGACTGTTTTCTAACACTGTATACAGTTATTCGGTTACTGTACTGGCCCTAGAGGCTCTGCAGCAGCAGCAGCAGCAGCAGCAGGGCAGACCTGCTATGATTAGCTACACTTAAAAACAGTCAGTGGGAGTTATGAGAGTACGGCTGCAGCCTTCAATATGTGCGGCATTGCTTATCAAATAAGCGTTATGTATCAAACCGCTGACAGGACATCAGTGTGAAGGACGATGCCAACGCAATTAAACTAAACTTTTAGGGCCTATTACCCTTCTCTCACCTTGCAGCCGCTCCTCCCCAGCCCGACTGAAAATGATTCATCCCGGTCTCACACAATGACACACCACATTTTTAATAATTGTATTCCTCCTTTTCTTTTCCTTTCTTCTCTTTTTTTCTTTTGTCCGGGGTGAACCTCACCTGCAGGTCGGGATTTTCCTCGTGCTGATGGTGCGCTTCTTCCGCTGCCTCCACCAGCCGCTGAGAGGAAGAGAGAGGATGGTTAATAAGAGGAGAGCTGTAAATATATAGTCTACAGCCAGATACTGTACATGCATATTCACACTTGGTAGTACATCATTCATTAAGACTTCCACAAACTTCATGTAAGTTTTTTTTTCTGCTGCTCTCTGTATTTTTCAAACTTGCTTTTCCACTGCCACTCTATTATTTTCAGATCCCAACAAATGCATTGTTCCATTATGGAGGACCATTTCCAGGCTTTAGATTAATCTCTGGACTTTTGTTTCCAGTTGTGTTGCCAGAACTGTTTGGTCTCTCCCGTCTTGGCCACCCTTAAACTATTTTTTAAGGGCACAAATAGCCTATGCATAAAATATGGGGCACTACTATTGGGGGGTTGCTGCTGCTGCTGTGAAATGATTGATGGAGGCAGGTTGGGGCAGATTTCATACCGTGTACCAAAGCAGCGATAGCCTCTGTAATAACTGGATTCTGGAAAAATATGCTTGGCTCTGTGTTTCCGTGGAAATGCCACCTAAACGTTACCGTCTCCTCTCGCCTCCGGAGCCCAGCAGGTAATTAACATCTGTCACAAATGTCAAAATAACTGCTATATAAACACAACTGAGGCGTTTGAGCCGACTGCTGAGCGGTGGTGGCCAACTTCAATTGACCTCGTGGTGCGTTCTCGTGTCGTCAGCAAAAATAAACATCGTGAAATAAATATAATGTTTCCTCCTGATTTAAGCGAAGAATTCTTTGTGGGGCTCATGAATAATCTTCCTTCGTATGAAATGTACCTGCATCGGTCTCACACCTCACGTCCTCCACTTTACTGAGGTCACTGTCTCACGTTTAAGCTCGCGCCTTTCAATTTTGGAGCAAAATGATGACGTCACCAGATTAGTTTTTTTTTTATATATCACACGTGCTGAACTAGGTTTAAAAATGATTTATTTATTTAATTTATTTATTTACAGCCAAATGTGTGCCTGGTGTTGTTGTTGTGCATAATTCCCCCCCCCCAAAAAAAAGAAAAAAAGAAGAAGAAAATGTTGAATCAAATCAGCTTTATCAAATTACACGCTTTCCTATAAGTGTAATTTATAGGCTGAACTGAGATCAGGCTGGGAGAGATAAACGTTATCATTTCCCAGCAGTCCCTGCGAGGGGCGGCATTAAAATGGTTACAAGCTCCTCAGCGCTGAGGTCTCAGACAGGCTGCTGCTGTGAGCCTGACAGCAGCTCAGACCTGGACTGTAATAAATTACATGTGAGACCATATTCCTATTCCTGCATCAACATTACAGATGTGATCTGTTAACATTGCACAACAGTCTGATCTCCCAAGAGAATAACCTGCTCAATTTAGGGATTGTATGAAAATTAGGCCCATTGAGGAGGGGGGTGATTTTTAGATCCTCCCTATATGTATTCATGTTTTCTTTGGACCCTTAAAGAAACATTGCAACACAATGTTCCTCTTATATCTCAAAATAACATATTAAACCTATTTAAACCTTAAAATGTTAACAAAGCAAATTGCATATTATATGTAGCGATTGCAAAACTTATGACAAACTAAATAAAATACTGCGTCCTCTTTACCAAATATTCCAGCCACTGTCATTTTGGAGATATATATATATATATATATATAGATGCATTAAATCAGATCACACCATTAAATACAAAAACACAAGTTCAATGCTGTTAGCATGCTGCTTCATTTGATGAGGGGATGAACCAAACTTAAAAACTCCTCCCCTCAGCAAAACGAAAAGAAATACAACTCTTGCTTTTTTCTGACACTCCCCCTTCACCCGCACCGTTCAAATGATTAAATAACATACAGTCCTCTTTCCCCTAAAATATAATAAAATGAATGGATATATAAATACAGAATAAAATGCCTCCTTCAAACCTGTTTAATATTTTACCTACCCTGGTGGCCTCCGCCTTTTTCCGGAACACTTCCTCCATCTTTACAGCCAGGTTTTTCACCAGTTTCAGACCATCAATTTCTTCCACTCTGACTGACTTTTCAAATTCTTTATATTTCTGAAAATAACCAGAAACAAAAGTGTGGCATTGACAGAAGGAACAACTGTAAATCTTATAACACTGGAAAACATGTACTGCAAACCTATTGAGCCTCACATTGATTAACTCATTACAATCATCCTGATGTCCACTTAATAAGACAATAGAACAATCAGATAATCATCTTTTTTTCTTTGTGCGTGTTCTGCAACATTTTTGTTTCACTGCGTCCCACTCCAGAGAGGTGGGGAATTGTTAAACAAGGCTTATAAGCCGTCACATGGTAGCTGACAAGCTGCATGCAGCAGTCTCAGATGAACGGTTGATAAAACCCTTGCTGCAACACGGAATGATTGATAGTCTTTATCCGATCTCAGGCATTGGCTGCACATGCTGCTTCTTTCTCCCTGATTGGCTGGAGAGGGCCATGTTGGGTGGCCAGGCGGGAGGGGGCGGGGCTGGATCTGAAGGCTATGCATGGTAAGAGGGTAATTGAAATGGAGTCAAAGCACAGAAGAAAGATAATAACGTGTCAAGCTCGGGCGATTCTGTGTAATGAACTACACCTCACATAATGCTGATTTTGCTGGATGCACAAGACCTCCAGTGATACAGAACAAAGCCCGCCACAGCTCGGAGGAATATAACATTACATAATCTCACACCTGCCTGGCACTCACACAGACACACACACACACACACGACAAATAAAAACAAAAAACTGATCCTCTCATGCTGTCCAGTCAGCCACATCACACACACTTCCAATAACCTTATCTAAAAATAAACATAAGCCACGTAAGGCTCATAGAACACATTCAAACACATTACACATTGTGTGGACAGGACGCACACAAAAAACACACACACACACACACACACACACACACACACCAGTACATGAGGCGACAAATTACCTACTGAAAGGAAGAGTGTGTGCTCGCAGTGGAGCAGAACAGTTCATTTCACGCCTGTCCTCCTCGCCTCAGCACCCCGTGTCCCCCAGTCCCCCACCCTCCTCCTCCTCCCTCACACTCCTACAGTCATCAAGAGGAGGTTAAGCCCCATCCATCAAAAGCACTGATCATGACTATTGATTAGAGTAAAGACCAATGCAGGAGTGAGGCCCGTCTGCTGGGAGCCTGAGGAGCCCCAGTGTTTCCCCCTTTTACAGAAATCTTAGTAAAATCGGGTAATTCGCCATAAAAGCATCTAATGATCAGCCTTAATGACCAGCCCCTAACGACCCGTCAGTTCCCTCACAGCTCACTGCTTTGTGCTGACTGGCTCGGCACAGCTCTCTCCAGACATGCCTCCATGAACAGGAACATGAGCAAAGTGCTTACACACACATTAAAAAAAGGAGCAAATCTGCAGGGCATATTGCAAAAAATGTTTTTGTACAAAGATGAAATGCATAATGGCAACAAATCAAAGGCTAGTGCTTCAGCATCCACCACACGTTTTAACTTAAATGTATATCTTATATTAAGGAACTGTCACCTCAGAGCAAGGAGGTCCTAGGTTTGGACCCTGGAGCCGCTTTCTATATGCAGTTTGAACGCTCTCCCCATGTTTGCGTGGACCTCTGGGTGTTCCGCTTTCCTCCCACAGACATGCAGCGGGGCTTTTAGGATTAATCCTGCTATTGCCCTTGACCGAGGCACTGGCCTCAGAACTGGAGTTGGTTCCTGGACGTGGCGCTGTGATAGCCCACAGTTCCTAAAATAGTGAGGATGGGTCAAATGCAGAGGATTAACAAGAATGATGGGGGTTCATGTAGTAACTTAACCTAGGAGGAAAGTTAAGAGTTGTTATAGACAGAGGGATCACAGTGTCCCATGTGGAAAATGGTCTATACAGGATGTAAACTGTACATTAGTAAAATGGATACTATGTTCACTGAGTGACCAGAAAGATGAACAGTTAAACTCAGTTGTCAGAGAGGCATTGATTCAATTCTGTCATTTTTTTTGGGCCGAAGTTTGTGGTGTTCTTGAATTGAATGCATCGTTAAAATGTTTACTGTATGTAAATGTGATTAACACAGTATTGAAAACATCTCTCAGTGCAATGCAGTCCAATTTAACATCACACCACAAACTACAACCTAACATGCAAAAGAACTGAGTCAACATGCAAACAACTGAAAGAGAAAAAATAAAACTGGACATGTCAGGTAAAATTGTATTTACTGCAGAGTGGCTGTGTTGTAATGTGTTCTTCAAAACCCTTGTTTCATTACTTAAAATTTAAGACAAGAAAGTAAAAGAAGATCTTTAGTGCTGAGTAGACGGAGAGACATTTGAGTCTATAACCCTCTTAAAAACTCATTATTTAGTTTGGCTATCTATAACCAGATATGCTGGTGCTGTACCCTACTATATATGGTGGAGGTTTGATAGATAGATACAGGTATTTAACCCTTAAACCCACAGATCTTCTCGTGGGTCGACTGTTACAATCTCACGTTATCTGGCCGAGCTTTTATTAGACCCACAGAACTTTATTCCTATTTCTAGTGCAGATACCACAGTCTCAAAATATACTGAATTTGTCTTATGTATGCTGCATTTTGGGGAAGTGTGTATGAAGTAATGCACAATATATCCAGAACATTTACTTTTGATGTAATGATGCAGCCATAAAAACATGGTGTGTTTGAATATTTCACATGGTCCAAGTATCATACAGACTGTTGAAACAAGGAAATATAAAACTGTCACAGAGAGTGGATATTCTAATGTAAATGTGATATTTTTGTCGGTTGTGCAGTTTGTGTCTGTGTTTTTGTCATTTAACCTGTCTCTTGTATTTTCTTTCTTTATATTTCTTTACTTATTTAAGATAAATCTAAGGAAAATAGTTAATTACTTCATTAGAATTTAATGCTTTTTAAAATGCCATGAAACAATGTAAAATTTAAGACTTAAATCACATTATAAGCCTGCTGACGGACAGCTCGCTCTTCATCCACCTGACTCAACTCTGACCACCGGAGGCCTGTGAACACGAAGCCCATCTTTGCCATCAAGTGGTCAAAAAGTTAAATCCACTGCACTGGGTCATTGCTCATTCTTTGCTGGTTTCACTTGTTCATCATATCATAACCCTCCTCACCCACTATCGAACCCCAACACACCCTAATTCAATTTGTCTCCTTGTCGCATTCATATCCAGAGGTTGAAGCTCTTGACTCCAGAGAGTTAACTGGAGAGATGAGATGAGAGCGGAATCAGAGCCGTGGTTAATGGGCCGTATCAAGTACAAACACACAGGCGCACACACACACACACACACACAGAGAGAGAGAGAGAGAGAGAGCCCTGTCTCTGCCAAACACACCTGAGTCTCCTCTAAAATAACGCATCAGCATTCAGCTGAGACACCAAAATGTCTCTGCACCCATTAGAGAGGGAATACAGCATTACAGCATACAATATGTGTAACTACATGACCATCAGACAAACGGAGAGTATGTTTGCGTTCACACAAGATTGGGAAACAAGACGACTACCTTTTGCAGTAATTGGGATCCAGAATATTTTGCAGAGATGGATTTGATTTCTCCACCAAATGCTGAGGCCCAGAGCTTTACGCTAGAACACAAAACATACAAATTACAGTTTAGCCAACAGTCTCCCATTATGAAAAATGCACATAAAAATATCTAAAGAAATACATAGAAAGGTATGTGATTGAATTAAAAAAATGAAAATACCTTTTAGATTGTCTAAGTTTAAATTACAACACATTTGAAACCATTTACAGCAAATGATATGAGCAGCAGTAGGTTTAAATCTCTGTCCTCTCCTCACCCCTGATTTTAAATGTCTTTAATCTCTCCTCAGCTGTCATTTTTTTAAAGCTTTATTTCTGTCAAGATCAGCCAAAAGATTATCGTCAAGGCCCTGCGTCCCTGACCTTTACTCTCCTGACAGATGATTGCATGTAATTTTGATGATCTATACTGTAGTTATTGGAGCTCCTTCTATTAAACTGTAAATGGCTGTGGCTGAGCGGGGGAGAGAAAAACTCTACCTGAAATATAAAACAAAGTTGAATGTGACCGTCCTGCAGGAAACATGGACCCTGCTTTAAGAACGTGGTAAGTTTAAAGCTTCAAAAAATTCAGGAAAACTGCTTTTGAACTGTCAACAGCATGCTTAAAAACAGTCTCTGAAAGATTCATCATTTTAATTTAATTCATTTTAATTTCAGTTGATTTTCTACTGGTTTGTCAAATCGTATGCATTTTTAATATAATAGCATGGCTTTTAAACTAAACTAAACATGTAAATACTTTGCAGGAAATTTATATTTTTCTATTTTTTTTTAAAGATGCGTAATACAGCCTTGACACCTAAACTTAAAATATTTAAAAAATACAAAATGTTGACCAGGGTGAGATTAACTTTTGGAATCTGCTTTTACATCTTAGACTTTACTTTGTATTTTCTATAGTCTTGTTTTTAAATTGTTGTAGATAGATAAAAAAAAAAAGTTCCTGAAGCAAACGGCTTTCCAGATTTAGTGTCCCAATCTGCTGCAGATACAATATAAAAGAAAATATGATTCACTGTGAGTTTATTGTTGCTATAGAGACAATTGGGAATTATTAGATTACACTTGTAAAGGCCTAACGAGCTGTGATTTCAACTGTAACAATTTACAGTAATCAGAAAAGTTTTTAAAACTAATTAAAACTGCTCTTTATCATTTGAATTATTATACATAGATTTAAAAAAAGATTAAGATAAAGTGTGTCTCAAATTTACCCCTAAAGTCCATGAGATATAAAACTGTCTGTCACTCATTATTTCTGACTTATTAATAGCATATATAATTATTATTGTCAATTTCCTGATTGTCTACAACCACACAAAATAAGACAAAAAGAAATACAGTTAGTTGTAGTGTAACCTCTTTAAACCAACATGTTCTTTTTTTAATTTCTCCACCTTCTGTGATTATATTCAATCATTTCATCATCAGACAGCATCACTCTCTACCAATGAGTGACAAGTTAAACTTGTAATATGTGCCGTATGGAGGAATACAGACAGATTTTTAAATTAAACTCCACATGGTGGTTTACAGAGGTCTCTCTCTCTAAACATCCTTAAATTAATTTAAATCTAAAAACAAACGCTGCACTTCGACAGCTACAGTTCCTGCCAGTAAGAGATCAACATATTAGTTAATTCCATGTGAAACAAAGTTGCAGAGCTGCTTCTCACTCACACTGACAGAGGGATCCCTTGCTGGGACCCCGCCACCTCCACATTCAAGCCGAAGAGGATCCAGAGCAGGAAGCTGCTGCACATGTGCGAGAGCAGGATCCTCCAGACCCCCAGCATCTTCATCTCTGCTTGTTAAAAAAGAATATCTGTACAGTAAAATCCCGTCCCAGGCAGCGCCGTGCTGGACTGCTAGACCCCGGTGCACCGTCTCCAGCTGCGGTACTGCCAGCACGTAGCCTACTGTATGGAGAGAGAGAGAGAGAGAGAGAGAGAGAGAGAGAGAGAGAGAGAGAGAGAGAGAGCATCATCCTCCAGCCTCCATCCTCAGCTCCTTCTGCCTTCCTCTGAAAAGGGAAAACCCCCTCAGCCTCGACTCTCTGCTGCAAGAGCCACGGACCTTTTTAATTCCTGGAAACGTGTCGTCTGCTTGTTTGTTTGCCATGAAGACTGAAAAGCTCGAAGAGGTTGAAATCTGCTGAATCTGGTTCCTGGAGACGAGGAATGGGGGGTTTCCTTTATCCAGTTTCCCAGTAGCATGGACAGGTGTGTCGACCACAGAGCCAATAAGAACCATTCAATTCAATTGCAAAATGCTGAAAATCCAAACAGTGAACTTTGGTTCTCTCCTCTGCGATGCACTTCTCTCACGTCGACTGTTGTGAAGTTGTTGCATTTAACGCTGAGGCTGCACTATACAACTCTACACGCTTGATGAACTGTATTGTCTCCTGTTTCCATCCTGCACACGCATAAAAAAAAGCGTGAAAGCGTGGTTTTTTTTCCTACTATAACTGAAACGTGACCATGTAGTGAACAAGAATGTCTTCTTTTTTAAAAAAAAATGAACATAAAGATTCAAATATGAAGCGCAGAAAATGGAGATTCATAAAATGGCTCTGTGGGCGATAATGAGACTGCAGATATTTGATGAAGACTTGCGCACTGCCAGCAGCACAGTATAGGCTAAAGGAAGAATACAGTTTAACATGGGAGTCAGTTGGGTTTGTGAGGATTCAGATTACACAACAAACAAAAATACATGTGAGTGAGTAAATCTTGGAGCAACATTTTCTAAACTTTGCTCAGTCCTCTATGATTGGCTGAAGTCCAATAATCGATCACTTTGACCAATGACGTCATGTCACTCAACTTTTCTTTTTTTTTTTTTCCCACGTGGGCCCCTGAGATTATTCCAGGAACTGAAAGTGTAGTGAGTTACTGAAGGAATAAGCATTAAACTCCTCATAAACTGCACGAAGACAAAGTTTTGGCTTAGTGCGCCATATTTATCAGTGCTTGCTGTTAATAAATAAAAAAGAAGAAGAGCGCAGCCATCGTCCTGTAAACTACTTTAAACTGCTGATTAGGAAGCGATAATGTTGTCAAGGCAGCGGGCGGGTTGATGCACCAGTCCTCCACCCTCCGCCACCATCACCGCCGCCGGAACCGTGTTTCCACTTGAGGCTTTTATTAGTTTAGTAATTGGATCGTACATCAAAGTTGTGAGGAGCCTGTACTGTCTGGGACGTGCCGATAAGGTGCCTGCATGTTGGATGACGGACAATATCATCCGGTCTTTCCACTCATAGCGCGTCCTCCCTCAATGGTTTAATTAACTATCGACTGGAAATAAAAAAAAGCAGCTCTCTGACACGATACTGAAGGAAGTCCTCTAGTTCTGTTCGTCTGGTTCTGCTTAAGTGTCCTTGAGCAAAGGGGGTGCGTTACCTCCTTCTGGGTCGTTGCACCAGTCTCAGCCGCCTGAATGCATAAGGATACAAAGCACGTTCTCCATTTGATTGGATCTCTTAAATAATGTCATGACCTCCTCCCACACAGTGGAGCAGGTTAAATAAACACAGAGTATAATGGTTTGATATGGTGTATCTTGATGCCTGTTTGTGCTTGTGTGATATATTTATTTTGGTCCCAGCAGCTCCCATAGTGAGCAAAACATGTAATGATCCCCTCCTGAAGACCTATAAAAATCTACTAATTTGTGTCTGAATCCCCCTCTTGAGGAGATTTTCCACATCACACTTGTGGTAAGTTGCATACTGTACCACGATTGGCTTCCAAGCTAGTTGTGATCCTCATTCCGACGTCTTAAACTCAGATTTAAGGAGAGCGAAGGCAAACTTCCTCCCCTCTGCAGATAAATGTGTCTGAGTCAAACTCTGCACATACATCATTCTGCACGGTGAGGCTTCAAACAGCCAAGAGAAATAATGATAAGCAAAATACATGTTTGAGTGAGTTGCTGCTGAAAGTAGCACACGTTTCAAGGAAGACTGTACATAGGGAGACTGTGTTATTATACAGGTTTCACTGTTTCCCTGGGTTTCATAAATTCCGCATCAAGCCTATCCAGGTGCTCTCCATGGTGCTGAACTTCAAGGTGCAGTTCAGCATCTGTGGCTGTATGTTTATATGTCACACTTAAAGTTTGTGAAAAACAGTACTAACCTGGCCAACTTACAGGCCTTTTTCTGGGGCTTTCATACATACCGTACATACTTTGGGGTTGTCATGGAGATGAATCTGTTGACATGCAAGCTCAGTAGCTGTTATCATTTAATCCTCTGTATTGAGTGGATCTTTCTATCTTTTTTAGTTTGAGTTGTTTAGTCAAACTGCTAAACTATTTTTTTAACTTAACTTTTTTGTTAATGTGTAGCTTTATATGTGAACAGACAATGTTCAGCCTTCTAAAAACAACAACAGTGGGTCATTTACAGGTCATGTATCATTAAAAGAAAATCTAACTTAAAGGTATTGTTCTAGACATAACGCTTTATAATCAGAGCCAGACTGCTTTTATCTCTCAACCCAAACAGTTGTAAGTTAATCTCTGGCTCTGTCTTGACTTGATTGGCCATAAACCTCTTAAAAGGTTAAACGTCGGACACCTGTTGTCATGTCAAGTCCAGGGGCTTAACCTCACCTCATTCCCTTAGCAGTGGGGGAATAAGTCCCTTTAGACCACCTACAACTGTCAACTTATTCTCATTAAGTGAACTGAGACTGCATAAAGATTATATCCCACCTCAGTGTACCCTATATTGTTCACTGGTGTTATACAGCCATTGTTGCCTTCATATGTTTACAAAACTGCTGTCAAGACTCATAAATTACAGTATTTAATAGTAAAAATTAATCATTCACCATGCAACAGTAGTGTATTGTAGTTAGTTTAAACTTGACCCTAAGCTCCAACCATTGAAAACACTGTCAAAGTGAACTTTACATATCCTTTTGTTTTCATTATCGTGTGTTGAACTCACCATCAGTGTGAGTGTTTGATAACATGTTCAGTAGCAACTTATTTATATCATATCACAGTGATCCGGAGTCCTGACAGCACATTACATTGTGTACGTGAATAAAAGCTTAACCAAGTTACTCCACCATTTTGAGAATTAGGCTGGGGTCAAATGGGATCTCGCTGCAGGAATAGGGACTTGTCTGCTTGTCTTAAACTGATCCAAAGAAAACATTGTTACTGTAACGTTGTTCATAAGACAGAAGGGAAAAGTGTCCATTTGGGTTAAATCTTCGTCCAATGTTTCGATTCATATGTGCAAATAATGTATATCACTGCAGGGGATGGACAAAATAAACAAAACACCTCACAGCAAGTTCACATTGTCCAGTCTGTTGCAGGTTACATGAAGCATAATAGTTTACATTGTTGTAGCAGATAACATATTAAGTGACTGCTATGTTGTAATGTGGAGGGCTGAATCATCTATAACCAGGTGTACAAGCTGTATACTGGGGTTTAAATAAGATATGAGTTGTATGGTACAGCAGGAGACTTCTTTGAGCCCTAAGATCCTTAAATGCCTTTAAACTGTACAATGAATCTTTCACACACACTGATACATCCACACAAACAATACAAACAACTAAAAACCAAGGTGTTAATTTTAAATCTGACAATTAAACTTTGTCAGCAGCCTTTTCCACATATGCTGTACAAAACTTTTTACAATTATTGTCATCCACCACATTATTGTCATGTACACTCATGTTTTATAGCAGGTTTAAATCATTCCGTTTGTCATTATCTACATTTGTGTTGTAACATCTGTTGTTCTTACATGTGCTCTATAAATAAGTTGACCTGACTTCATACTGACACTGATTAAACTTTCACTGACCCCTGGTTTGTGTAAGGTGAGCAAGAGGGGATGAGAGAGAGGGAAAGAAAGACATAGAAAGTGAGAGAAAGAACCAGAAAGAGATCACCAGCCCTGAGCCAATCTCTACTGTAGTTACTACATGTTAACTATATTACTATATACACCATTTTTCAGACAGCTAAACCCGCAGCTTCTTTATCCCTCTGAGAGGTAGGAGTGGTCAGGGAGTGTTTTTTCTTTGCGCATGGTTAGCAGACTGATCTGGTGAGGATAACTGTGCACTCATTCTGTGTAAGTGCCTTTTCAATCAAGCAAAAGGTGAGGGATCAAGGATCATCATTTGGAGGAATTACTCTTTGTTAAGTCCTGGTCTGGAGTACTTATTCTTAGGACATGTAATCTCAGCTGTCACACTTGGACAGGGAAGTTATTGAACATCTAGAAGCTCCAGGACAAGAAGAAACTACCTCGACCACTTTTTAAAGCTTTGCATCCATGCAACCATCTGTTCTTTCCCCAAATGCTTCCTTCTACCTGGGCCCACATGGGGAGCCCCCTCTGTCACGCACAGGCTTCATCATTCTCTCCATCATTATGGCCATTTTCACCGGTCCGGCCATCATATTCAACGGTACAGTGATCATTGTGTCCCTAATGCACAAGCAGCTGAGGCAGCCACTCAACTACGCTCTGGTGAACATGGCTGTGGCTGACCTGGGCACAGCCATGACTGGAGGGGTGCTGTCTGTGGTCAACAACGCCCAGGGGTACTTCTCCCTGGGAAGAACAGGCTGCGTGATGGAGGGCTTTGCAGTGTCATTGTTTGGTGAGTAAAAAGAGGAGCACAGTAGAGGTTAAGTAGTGTTTTTAACTGCTTATATTCTTACAGAACTATAGAACAACATGAATATCCTTTCTATGGATGGCACGTTTCCTCACTGTGTTTATGTCATTTTCATGTAATCACAGAAAAATATTCATTCAAGTTATCAGGCACTTCCCTACCTCTCTCGTGTGTCCACCTGACTATGCTCCCCCTCACCTGTCCGCAGGCATCACATCTCTGTGCACTGTTGCTCTGATCGCAGTGGAGAGGATGTTTGTTGTATGTAAACCACTGGGGCAGATAACTTTCCAGAAAAAGCATGCAGTTGGAGGTATTGCCTTATCCTGGTTGTGGTCCCTCACATGGAACTTACCCCCGCTGTTTGGCTGGGGCAGGTATGAGCTGGAGGGTGTCGGGACTTCCTGTGCACCAGACTGGCACAGCAGGGACCCTCATAACGTCTCCTACATCCTGGCTTACTTTGCAGTGTGCTTTGCTGTACCTTTTGCCATTATATTGGCATCCTACACGAAGCTAATGTGGACATTACACCGGGTGAGCATTTATACATTCCTCTTTAGTGGTGGAAAGTAACTAGTACATTTACTCAAGTACTGTACTTGAGTACAACTTTAAGGCACTTGAACCTGAATATGTCCATACTACAATAGAAAGTGAAATATTGTAGTGTTTCTTTCCTCATTACATTTATCTGACAGCTGTAATTACTAATTGCTTTTCAAATTAAGATGTTACAGCAAAAAACATTTGTTAACTTATAAAATGCAATGAATTGTTAGGGATTAGACCTGTGGCTCCCAACCGTACAAAAAAGCAGTATTGAGGAACTATGTCACAATTTATGTCTATGATTTGTTAGCAAGTCCATTTCCCCTCAAAACTTGTCACATGGTTTTATTCAGATAATTATTTGAGACCAAAAGAGGTAAAATAATCCAAATTTTAAAATAGGATAAAGTAAAGTAAAGTAAAACATCAACAAAAAACAAAACACATTTGAGTTACAGAACACTTTATCTTTTAATCCTCTGGAGGAGGGCAGAACCCCAGGTCAAGAAATACTGGACCAAACTACTTAACTAGATATTTCACTTTAGTTCTACAACATTAAAATGCTGCTTACTTGTTGCCTCAGGAACAATTTAGTAATGTCATATATAATAATATATCACTCACTTTTTAATGTTAAGCACATTTTCCTAATAATACTTATGTACTCACTTAAGTAAGATTTTGAATGCAGGATTTTATTTGTGATGGAGTATATTTACATTGTTGTATTGGTACTTTTACTTAAGTAAAAAGCGTTTTGCCTGCTCAGAGGACAGCTGGTGTTTGGTGTACAGTATGTGCCTTTTGTAAGTAACCCTAGTTTATCTTATAGTCTTTTCCATGGTGCACACATGCAGGAGACAGGAGACATGAGGACATATTAAGGGTCATTGCATGCAACAGTAGCACACTGTCAGTATCAAACCAAAGATTTACCACAGTCATGTGTTATAAATGATCCAATGGACCTCCTAACTGGTTACATTCTGTATTACAGGTATCAAAGATGGCCTGTGTGGAAGGTGGTGCAGTAGCTAAAGGAGAAATGAAGGTGGCGTCCATGGTGGTCCTGATGGTCGTGACGTTTCTGATCAGTTGGATGCCATATGCCAGCCTGGCCATGCTGGTGGTCTATAACCCTGATGTGGAGATTAACCCACTAGTGGGCACAGTGCCAGTTTACCTGGCCAAGAGCAGCACTGTGTACAATCCTATTATCTACATCTACCTTAACAAACAGGTACTGGAACACTACATACAGATCATAATAGAATTTCTATCCGGATGTGATGAAGAAATTGTTCATCACATCTCAGCTCTAAAATACTTTTCTGTTTTGGGTCGGCAGCACCATCTAGTGGTTTTGATAGACCTTGTGTTGGTATTCAGTATAGGAATGTGGGTTTCTGTTCGAACTGGGGGTAAAGACAACTAACTAAACTAACTAACTTAATGCAAATGTAACAATAACGTTTTGTTATTTAAATATGATCATGTGTACATTTTACATTCACAAAACCAAATTCATAGTCTTATAAAATGCATTTTTGATTGATTTGAATTTCTTTATCTTTTTAAGACTAAGGAAAACAAAAAGAGTATATGTATATTACTAACGTTATATTAGTCATACAATAGTCAGCCCACTGTCAGTAGCATACATAAAGCACTATATAAACATTAGATAAATTATGTATAACACACTACGATGTAGTTGTAAGCAGACATGCCCATTTTAATAAGTTATTACTGTACAGTATTTGTCAACAATTTTAACGTCTCCTTTAAAGACATATTACATACTATTACAACTGTGTAACAATATTTTACAACTACATTATAGTATTATAAAACATTTATTTAAGTTATATATGATAAATATGGGGATTAAAGAAAACTGTCAAGAGACATTTTTTTAAGTTATCGTTTGATTTGCAATATCTTTAACATTATCTTAGAATTTTAGTTTTATATTCATTGTAGTTCTATATTATGCATCATATATAATTGACAATAATGCACCTTGTGCTTGCTGCTGAATGATGTCTGAATGTTTGTTATTACATTAAAGAAAGAGACGATATATTTTGTGTTGGCTGAATATTTTATGCAATGGCTCATTTTGTTTTCCGCAGTTTCGTAAATATGCAGTGCCCTTCCTGCTGTGTGGGAGAGAGCCCTTGCTGGAGGATGAGGATGAGACGACAACGACTGTGGAGATTTCAACCAACAAAGTGTCGCCCGCCTGAAATGTACACACACCTACATGCATCCATTAAAAAGCTTTTGGCGTGAAATGTGTATAATTCAGTTTACACATACTTTTTGTCACCAGTCATTAGTTAACTATGACTACAGTGTTTCAATATTTCTGTTTTTTTAAACTGTCACTGTATCACTGTAATCACTGTATTATGATTTTATAGTAGATAGGAAGAGTTCTTTAATGTCATGGGTATAGAGTTTGTGGTGGTGAAAACAGAATAGAAATAAATGAGAAAAGTAATTCAGCATAAGTTTATTCAATGATGATCAATAGAAAATAAAATATCAGTATCGATTCAAATAAAGTCAAGGCCAAATAAAATCAAAAATACAAAAAAATGTATTGATACAAAACCTAGAAGGTTATAGTAAAGCATTTGCTACTAAGAGAAATTATGTTTACTGAATAAAAACATTAAGGAGCAAATATCAAGACTTTCAAGTAGAGAACATTACCATGGGTCTTTCCATACTTTTGTACATATTTTACATTATCTTCTATTTTAATACAGCTTTCAGAACATTAATAGTTGTAATAGTAATTATAATCATAACAATATGAAGAAAACTAATAGAAACGTTCAAATCAATATGTGTTTCTCTGTAAACTGGTACTTTACCATTTTATTTTTTTCCCTACCTGCAAACAGAGAAACAGTGCACCTTGAAAATATTTTTTAATACTCTTTCATTCCCAGCATTGTAAGGTGAGGTGTAAATGACAAATATAGATTCCACTAAACCATACACACAGTCACAAAAAGTACAAAATTGTCTCACCTTAATACACAAATCTGTTTAGAAAAAGGAGAAACAAAAGCACTATACAGTTACTTGTGCAAAGACAAACAGCTATGTGCTAATATTTAAATACCATTGGTATAGACTGAACCAAATCAATATTTTCTTTTTTCAGGAATCCCTGACATGAGGTAAAAGTAAGTTCTTTTCATCTTTAGTTTAACACAACTTTTAAAAGTGTTTACAAAATAATGCATATCTTCAGTTCATCAGTACTGTAATTGCTACGAATAGTACAATGTGCCTGTTATGTGCATTGGTCCTTTTATATGACAGTCATCAACAAAAGGACTAGAACACATTTTTTTTTTTTTTTTACTCACAAACAATTCAAAGAGCCCTTTCAATGTGCACACAAAATGGAAAACCTACACTTTCATGACAGTATTCGGTTGAATTAGAGTACAGTATGCACTCACCTACAAATCAAACACTCATGAACAACAGATCACATTAACCCTAAATATCCTTGGTGCTAATTCAAACTCTCCATGGTAATGCCTGAAAAAGCCCACTTCAGTTTATTTAGTCTAGTATTGTAATAGACCAATAAATGATAATTGATAAAAAGATATTTTGTTGTGTTCCAACTTGTGAGCTTCAGTTGTTCCTTTTTATGCAACAAGGGTTAGTTTCCCCCTTAGTCTCATTAATAAATATCATTAGGGGAAAAAACACAAAGTCTAGGTTCAACCCTACCTAATCCCTTTCAAAGACTCCACTGTGGGACACTGTGACAGACAGTAAATTGAGACAATGATATGTTGTCACTGTTGCCTAACGAGGTATTCTGTATGCAGGAACCAGGCAGGCTGAGAGAGTAAGGGGCGGGGGGTTAGTATTGCTTTGCCTCTCTCCAGCATCCTGACACCAGGACACCCTCTGTCCTTCCATCTAAAACACACGTTGGACTGTTTCTGACCTTTGGATGTGTGCATGTGTCTCCTGCCACCACAGGCTTCGAGGCCTCACACACTACATGAAGGCTAAGATGTGATTGCCAAGATTCAGTACAAAGGTTTAATGGAATTACAACCATGATCAACGAAGAGTATGTCATGGATAATCCCAGCATGAATGAATGTATCCCTGTTATTACCATCTATCATTTTTCTTTCTTTCAGCAGCAAAAAGGCATTTCAGTAGGGGTTGACGAAACCTAGGTTTGACTCTGAAACCAACTAAAAAAGCAGCATTGTTAATGCACTATGCATTTTAAATTCTTGTGCATGCCCTGCACAAAATATGCAAACAAATGTGGTCATCACATCTGTATAAAATTTCAGCACTGGATCCTTGAGGCTTGCCTTCTAAAAATGCTCCTTTAAAGGGGGCTTAACCTTATGCAACTGGTGTTGGTTTAATGAAGTAACACATGTACTCCTATGCTAAGAAATCAAAGCCATTTGCATATCTTGTGCAGCAGTGTTGTCACACAAGCAGAACCTCTTAAAAATGCTGTTTTTATAGGCAAAATAAAGGGTGCATATTAGCAAAAAAATAAAAGGCAAATGAACATTAGAATATTGTACCTAATAAAATAATGCAAGTCTGCTTTTATAGCATAACAGGAGTCACAAGGGTCCATATTGCTGATCTTTTAAATTATACATAATTACAAAATATAGAATCTCTTTACAAAGTTCCTTTTGTTATATAATACAATTTACAGCATATCAACTATGAAATATTAACCAGGCTATTCTAAAATTTTAAAATAACCTGCCTGCTAGTGCATTTATCACAAATGCTTTTGTCACTTCAAAAGTACATATCTCAAGTTGAATAATGCTATAAGTAGGACAGTTAGTTCCTGCATAATCTGGTACAACTCTACTGGTGCTCTTCACTTTTTGACTCAGCTGTAGCGATCGTTAAACGGTCTGTTATGACAACAAAGGGATCAATATATACTAACGACTACGGGAGGAGATATGCCTTTCTATGCTTGCATTGAAAACTTGCATGATATGCCAAACCTTAATAAAGTGACCGAGGTAATGACATCGTACATCTGATTGTCATCACCCTTAAAGACCCGCCCTAGAGAGTATCTCACACCTCTGCCAATTGTTCCATCTTTCACTGGCATCAATGTCTTCATCTCTGATTGGCTGCAGGCTGAACCAGTACGTCAACTCCAGGTCAAGGCCTTTGACAGAAGGGTGCAGTCAGTCCCTTTGTGCTCAGCAGGGATGGTATCTGGCTCTGTGCTGTGACCTCCTTTGCTGGCAGGTGGAGTACAACTTAAATGAACGGGACTAATGTGTCTCTCTTCTATATGCCTTTTCTCTTCAATGTAAAAGGCACTTCTTTTGGTCGGAGCCAACAGATGCATTTCTTTTTTAATTTTCACTGATTTAGTCTGACATGGTTCTAATTTGCAGATTTCTCCAGCCACTGCTATAAAGTTGTGATGCAGATCATCTCATCTGCCAGGTCCTCCTCATAAGGAGCTCTTGGTTCTGTCTCTGGCTCCTCGTCGCTGTAGCTGGCTGCTGTGTCCTGCAGTTCATAGTCCCTTGGAGTCAGAATGGGGAACACGTTGACCCCGTTGACGACCGGGGCCATCCCTCCGTTCAGCAAGTGACTGGCTGCACTCTCCATCTCATCTATCGTCATCTCACACGCATCTGCTATCTCGTGCTTTGTGGCAGCGACGAATTTGGGGTCCTTGGCATATCTCCCAAGCCCTTCTGAAATCAAAACCTGCTCAAGAGAGGAAAAAATATGTTACTGTGAATCTTTGCAATCTTGTTTTACTTATCTTGCTTGTCATATTTTGTTATGCAGCACATGTCTAAAAATGTGGCAGTGAGATTATAAAGTATCTGGTCAGGCACACCTCTCCTTTCCCTACATCCAAACCAAGCCTCAAACTCACCGCTTCCACAAGGCTGGTGGCGCTGCCTCTCTTCTGGTGGTACTGGTTATGGTACTCAGGCGGCACCTGCAGGTGGATGGGCGAGTACGTCCTCTGGGAGAACTCGGGGTCATCCGTGTACCAGGAGCTCTTGCGCACAGACACTTGGCTGCTAGCAGCGCTCTCCCTGTGTGGGTGGTCCACACGGATGAGAGGAGTGTAGTATGGTGACTGGTCTTTACTGGCCGGAGTGGCAGGAGGAGTGGCCCAGGAGCGGGTGGAGCGGGTCGGGGAGAGGCGGTGGGCTCTGCTGGAGTCCAGGCCTGCTACAGCCATAACCTGATGGGTCAAGAGACACATCATACAGACTTAATACACAGCCACAGGCAGTTGTAGTACAGTCAAGTTGTACTACTCTACTCAAGTATAGCTACAACTACTACTGTTACTCCAGGAGGATATGTGCAAAAATATGAGAGGGAAATATGATAAGTCTGTTGACTGAACATGATCAAAATGTGACACAGTGTTCAAAACAATGTGAGTGAGCAAACAGTACATGTGAGACATGTGCCTGTGTTACCTGGTGCTGCATAAGGTGCAGTGGTAGAGCAGTACGCTGATGTGGAAGCTCGTCCTGGCTACTTTGTCTGCGCAGACACTCAAAGTTGAAGGATGGCCTCCTGTTACCTGAATGAGTCAGGAGGGGATCAGTGAGTGACCTCATGCAGGAAACTTTAACAGCACATGCAATATTGTAAAGCATTCAAGGAATATGAAACTGGGTGAGTGAGTAAATCATACAGTGAGAGTTAAATGTATTGGTATGAGTGCATTCAGTAGAGAGACCCTTTTAAGACAAAGGAAAATGTTTTATGGCTTATTTTATCCAGAGCTGCATATGTAACACAGTCTAATAGCTAGGTTTACAAAAACCAACAAAAGAACAAATAAATTATGTATTATTATCTATATGTCTATATTTATTTTTATTTGCTACTATTTGTATGCATTGTATTCAATTAAGCTCTACTCTGACTTCATAACAATTATATTTTTTTGGTATTTTCTTACTGGTAAAGCTGTGTATATATTCAAGAAGAAACACACGTCAGCTCAAGGTCTATACTCTCTACCAATGTTTGGATCTGTTGTGACTTGTGATATTATGTTGCCAAGCAAGACAGTGTTGTATGTGAGTTTATTTAAAATGTATTACATGGAAAATTAAATTTAGACATATACAGTATGGACATGGACATGTAACTCATGCTGCCGTATACAAGAATGTAAGATACCTTGAGGTGTGGCAGGAAGCAGCCGTCTCTTTGGTGACCTACGTGAGTCGCGGTAGAGAGGCTGCTCATCATCGTCATAGTAACTGTCAGGGTGATGGTAACCTTTGGGAGTCTCATACTCTGTGTCACTGTTCTGATACCTGTCAACATACAGAATAAAGAGTATGTTGGAAGGCAAGGGTTTGGCACACACTATTCTAAAACCCTTTACATTTTATTAAACGTGCTTCCTATTCTGAGCAGGATACAACTGCACATAAGATTGCTACATAAGCTCAGTTGA